TCTCGCTCTCTCGCTCTCTCGCTCTCTCTCTCGCTCTCTCGCTCTCTCGCTCTCTCGCTCTCTCGCTCTCTCGCTCTCTCGCTCTCTCTCTCTCTCTCTGTGCACTAATGATAGATATATAGTCATATAAATATAGTGTATACATATATATATACACACAATTTTATACATATTATATACATACTCATACATTAAAACTTCAAACATATGCTTCGTATCGATAGAAAACTTGACAAGCATCACTTTAGCCTACACAAGACCAGAGGGTTGTGACTTCAATTACGGCGTGGTAGCAAATGCTTTAATTGCTCAAGGGCTATGTAGGATGTAGCAGGAGCGAGATGCTGCTGGCACGGGTGATAGTCACCCGAATCCAATATGCTGTCTCGGTATGTTTGGGTGCCACGTTTGATGGGGTTGTTATATGCTGTCAACAAGCACTGCTACAGTATGTAAAGCACTGTTCAAAGGATCGACAAACTTCTCTGTATATATATATATATACACATTATATATATATACCGTGTTTGTTTGTCACTGCAAGTCCACTAGAAGTAGCCTTGTCACTCGTCTTCTTGGAACAAGTTTTGTAACCCAATGGCGCGGATTTTGAATCTCCATGACTTATGAAACTCCAGCCGAGGCAATTCCGAGGATGACAAGGAGAATGACCATGATCCCAACGAGAGCGAAGTTGTCAAGAACCAGAAACGTCGGATAGACAGACAGGCAGGGCATGGGAGAGTGGTTCAGAGATGGCGTTGACAGAAAGGAGGCACAAACTTTCAAAAACATCCCTCCTAGTCGACAAACAAGCCTGCATGACCAGGTGGAGGCATCAACAAGCTAAAAAGAATTGAAAAGATGACTATAACCAATATTACACAATTGTAAAAACTCGCTTGATGGGATCATTTTGGTCTGTTTTTTGTACGAATTAAAGAACATGTAAGATGTATCTGAGAGGCTTGCACAGCCGGGTTTGTGCCCGCATGTTTGTTGTGTCAAAGTTGCTGAGCAAACGCTGGGCTACTGTACTTACTTTCTGGTTTGAAGTTAGCTTGAGCATCCTGAGCCGTTGCCCTTACACTATCTTTATCTATGTATAATTTGATTTTATTGAATATTGCTTGGTCTGGGCTAATTCATTGGCATTGAAGCCAATGAAAGCGTTTTTCTGGCACCTTTCTTTGCCAACAGCAAAACTGCTGGATTCCAGTCTATGTTATCCAGGGTGGTGACATATCAAGTGCTGCTTGCCAAACCTTCCGAACAGTTCCAAGGGTTTTAAGAACTTCGAAAGGATGCATTCTGCATCAGCCCGCAACATCAGAGAACATTTTCAAAAACAGTTAAACAAACACTTTTGAGGTGGAACTGAATTAGAGACTTTGTAATCTTCCGGCCAAGTGCTTAAGCGTGGAATCTCTAAAACTTGGAAACGCAAAGATGATGAGAGAATCTGAGAGAATGAAAACCTGGCTTTTCTTGCTTTGCTCTCGTCAGCCCTTTAGCTATGGTGAAAGCCCTTGTGTTTCACCACGGAACCTAGAGTGTTGGGAAGCCTGGTGTGTTAGACTGCGTGAAGCCTAGACATTACATCTTGTTAAAAACTCTAGCCACTGAGCCCTGGAAGCTTGGAATCTCCAAGCTGTGCAATTTTTAATTCTGGAAACTCGGCATTTCGCAGCAGAACTTGCATCTTTTGACCGCTCGAAGCTGTGGAGTTACATAAAGCAAATTCATACCGAGTTCGAGTGAGAGACATGCTGTAACAGGCACGTTGAGGTTGTTGTGGAGCCTTGGAGCTCCAATCATCGCCAAGCATTGCAGGAGCGGCTTCGCCGGAAGCGCCGGCGCCTGCGAGAGCCACTTGGCATGAAAGGAGAGGAAGACATGGAAAGAGATGGGAAGAGATGGGAAGAGATGGGAAGAGATGGGAAGAGATGAATTCAGTGCGAAAAAGTTGCCTTGCGGAGGAAGTAGCGCGCAAGGTTTGATATGGAAAGTGGAATGGTGAAGGAATTCCACCCACAAACTGAAGCGGATGGGCGCTCAAGTTTTGAGGTTGAAGCAGAGACTCGCAGGAAGTGTAGTCGAAGCTGCTGAAGAGGTTGAGCTGCATCTTCCCCTAAGTCAAAATCAAAACCGAATTTGTCGAGTAGACTGTCGCAAGCAAAAAGGCAAGTAATTTACATGCCGGTGGCAGAGCTTTCAAATGTAATGGTCCAGAGCAGCCCTGCCAAAAGCGACGCAACAAGAGAGACAAAGCCACCCCAAAATGTCACGGCCCTAGTAGAAACGCATCCAAAGCAAAGAAACCACCCTTACCAATTGCCAAAACGCATCAATTTCTGATTATGTATAGGGAAGTCAATAACTTCACTCTCGAACCGAGGCATACTCTCACATCGTACCATGCAATGCCGTGGCTTGGACTGCATTGTGTGTATGGTTGTAATTTTTTCGAGAAGTCAAGGGATTTTGGTACCGTACTTCAACTGTCTTTAACAGTGTCTAATTGTGTCCCATATCAGCCTTTAATCCTTGCAGCAGGGCCCTTGGCCTAGTTCCTTCGCGCGGAACTCTAGACGCATTTTTCAATGCACGTTCTCTGGTTAGGACATTTGTTTCCATATTCAAGACAGACTTCAACGAACGTACGAGTGGTCAGAAATTGGACACTTGTCTTCGGGCAAGAATAGGACGTTCCTCGTTTTAACAGATCGTTGGCTTTGGATACTAATGCAGATTTTCGGCTGGTACCTCGTGCTGGCCTTGTTGTTGCCCCCAGCTCCAGCGAAGCTTCCAAAAAGCTGAAACTTCTTTATCTCCCAGATCTCATACAGCTTGCATTGGCCTATAGTTGCAATTTACACCTCCCTTATTGAAACAAATGGTATCCTGCCACTACAACCATTTGCTTCGTGGGGTGTCAGATTCACCAAGAGTATGGCCCCACAAATTGCGACTTCCCAAACGTCTTTGCTGCGGCCCGTTGCGCAAAGCTTCGGCAGGGTGTCCATGTCAGTCTTCCAGATGGCGAAACAGGCAGCAGAACCTTCAAAGGACGCCTGACATTGACCGATTGACCTTTCAAGACTTTCTTCTATTCAAGATCTTTCAAGATCTTTTGAGATAGTCTCGAAACTCTGAAGCTATAGTCCCCCGAAGAGACTTGTTCAACGTCCGCGCTGCCTGAAATGTGCTGTGGATATGCTCCGGGACCCCCATGGCCTATGGCGTAGCTTGTTTGCTGGGAACAGTCTTCACAGGGATATCCTAAAGAAGATTCTAATGGGAATATCTTAAAGATTCTTGAAGTACTTCCTAGCTCCCATCGCCAGAGTCTGGAAGTAGATGGTCAGGGTTGATCTGGGCTGCATAGCAAATGCTTGCACGGCATAAACACATATGCATATGGACAAACGGTATTGGATACGCCTGTGTCAACATGCGAAATGCACCCATGATTATCTATTCATGCTGGACGAGTCTCACCTCCTCATTGTCACGAGGACTTCCTTTGGCTGGCAGCTGTGGGCGTGTTGGGCTACATGGACTTGGGCCTCATGAGTGAGCATCAGTGCCTCTCTGAAAAGAAGGATGTTACAGTGATCAGTGATGATCCCGTTGGATCCGTTCATCTCCAGCAAGGTCTTGTCAGCTCATGATGCCATGAAGCCTCCGGCAGCGTTTCCTGTGTCTTATCCTGTGTCTATGTTTCTCACGTGAAGGGATTCTCGTATCAATTGAAGGCTGGAAGCCTTGCATGTAGCAGGATCCTCTTTATTGTTGAGGCAGATTTTGAGGCTTGGAAGCAGACTCTTCCTCTAGACTTTTAGATCTTGGAGGCCTCCTACCCTCAGTTATGTCCTCTTTACTTCCTAAAAGTGGCCTTTGAAGCTTCAAGCAAGGCCTAAACAATTTTCTTTTCGGAACAATTGGCAACTCCGTGCTCCATGGCAACTCCCAGCTCTTGGTAGCTCTTGGCAGCTCCCAAGGTACAGTCGATTGGCATGGGAGGGGCTGAAAGAGGCGGGATGTGGCACGGTGTAGCAAGTTGATCTGTTTGTCTGTTTGTTTTGTACGGGAACAAGTCTTGCAAAAGAACACACAAGGACATCACACAATATGAAATTATGAAATGTTAGCAGTGTGACTGAACTCATTCTCATGCTTTCTGGAAATAGAGGCGAACAGCATCAGTCCCTAAGTCCCTGAGTCCTTAAGTTGTCCTCACACAGACACAATCTGTGTCTTTCGATCCAATTTGTATTCCATTCAACTCGGCTTTCTCAAATACTCTTTACTACGTGTCGGCGTAGTCATGCCAAGGACCAAAGTGGAAACTGTTCACAATTAAAAGACACTTTTAGTATGGTTGAGTTCGTAGTTTGCTGGCTATGCCGCTACGCCTCTGTTTCTCAACGTCCAGCCTTCAAGCCAGGCTTTAGACAGTACCAACGACACGCTCTTGTCCAACAGCGGTGTTCGCTCCACGGGACCAACCCAGACAGATGGTGGCTGGGCCTTGCTTGATCCAGTTCGGTTTCCCGCGCTTTCGACCTTAAGTTGTTGGAGCAGTTTGCAAATACAGTTCATTGATGTTGCTTGAATGACGAACGACTCACTTCCCCAAGATTGGCTTATCACCTTTGAATTGTGGATTGATTTCATTTGGGCTCTGAGTATGGCAAACTATATGCAAACTTTGAAACTCGGAGTCCTTGGAAGCTTTCAACTACAAACTGCTGAGTTTGATCCAAAAAGCAAGATTTGGACAGCCAATCTGTGTTTATCAAGGTGATGAGTCAGACGAAGAGCGATCCGCCAAACCGGTGAGAAGTGTGGAACAACGACGACTTCGATTTGAAAGTGATCTCAGGCAAACATCGTTGATGTGTTGAGATGTGACACTATTGGTTGACAAGACAGGACATCCTTAGACATCCTTTATTGATACAGAGGTGCCATTGCACAGTTTGAGGACTCACAGCCGTTGCAGTGAAACGATTCTGAGAGAAGGCAAAGATGTCAGGTTCTGTTGGATGCTACTATCTTGTTTCCTTGACAGGTTGACCCTCTACAAGCATTGGAATCTGGAAGAATCGATGATGCATAGCACCTCATCGGATCATGCGCAATGACATTCAATTTGCTCCCAAGGAAGATTGCCGATTGCCTCTAGCTGTGACTCCAGTTACCACCAGTTGTCACTCATTGTTGAGCACATGCCTCTTCCTACGTAGACACTCGTTTTTGCAGATACAAAATCGTACTCAGCAGCCCATCTACGCATCAATGAATGTGTGCTATACATGCATACCTTTAGATACACTACATGTAAATTGCAGAGGTAGGCGGCATATGGATTTCATCTGAAGTATGCACAATGATATCTACAATACAGATACCAATGTTTTGTTCCCTTTTTTATCTGCTGTATTCAGTACACAGTATGTCCACTTTTTGGAGAGGTTAAATTGTTGTTTAGGCAGCATTTGTCCTTCTGGGTTGGATATGATATAATTATATATATAATTATAGATATAATTATATATATAATAACAATATGTATATATATATATATACAGACAGAATGGTTGACAATACCCATATTAATTCCAGATCAAGAATTGCATCAATCTATAGATCATGTTGCACCAAAATCCCAGCGAGTATAAAGTATCATGGTTTTTCTCGAGCGTTCAAGGCTTTTCTTGGCATGAACGCGTCTCAGTCTTTAATGAATGAAACTTGCCGGCTTTGCCACGGGCTTTGCCAAGGGGATTTGCCAAGATTACAGTACCAAGGTGCTTATGTCTACGGGACTTTTGAGCTGCACCGGGATATTGGTTTGAGAGCGCTGAAGTCTTTCTTCGCAACCTCTGGTCTTATGCCTAGCCCCTCGGACATAGCACTATGACGGGGAATCTGGAGCAGCAGTACCGAACTGTGGAGGAACCATTTATTATACAATATACAAGACATAATTGATGTATGCATTTGCTGTAGATTGATGTAGATATACATGGAAGTCATGTTTATTTCAATCACAGCTGCTGTTTCCTTGAGACAGAGTCCAGACTGCAATTAGCCAAGAAGAGAAAAGGCACTTGATGCAAGAATTTTCTTGAGTTAGTAATTATTCTATTTTTTTTGCCTTTAACGCAATTATGCCAGGCTAAATTCAATGCCCTGACGAGCAAAATCACATGCCGCTATATATATATGTATGTATATATACATACACACACACATGATTTGGTGCAATCACTTCACTTGGGCAACACGACCAGACCCTTGTGTTGAATTCTGGTTGCGCTGACTCTCAGACTCCTTGGAATGCCAAGATTCTTGCCCTTTGGATGGTCAAAGGGAGAGTCTGCAACATTGCAGGTTGTGAATTCATATTGTCACATGAATGCCGTAGTGGAAAATAGTCATTTGCCCTGCTGAGAGAACAGCTCTCATCAACTCAGCACTTTTGCACCTGTCACAGGTGACTACACCCAAGTCTTCCGGCACATGTCAGCACCTGTACGCACATCACTCCGCAAGATCTTCGCAGATCATGGAAAGGCGGGAGGTGGTCCTTCGTGCAGAAGCTGTCAGGGAATGGATTTAGGAATCCAAAGCACACACCATCCACAATCACAGTATGCAGTACACATGCCTGTCAGCTCTGTAAGATACCATTTTCAATCAAAAACGGATAACCGCATAAAGCGGCAACAAACTCTGCAAACTTTTAAGCCACGCTAGAATGCGGTTGCATTGCATCTCCATTGCAGTAGAAACTTGTCACGCGAGCACAGCAGATCAACGACAAAATATGTATGCCTTGATATGACGTGACCCTCAAATGACACAATCTCAGCTTTGGACTTGGGCATTATCTACAACTGGAATTGTCCCTGTGAATCACGAGTCGCAGATGTTGGCCGACTGTTCTTGTAGACACTGCATGAATGTAAAACCATCAGCTATTTCAAATTGATCGCATGTTTCGACTGCACACTTGGACCGTCAGAGTCACTTGCCCACATGAATCTTTCCACTTTTCTTTTCTTCTCCTGCTGGCAATTACATCATGACAAGTGGTACTTGTTTTGAGGGAACTGTGTGGACGAAATACACAAGAGTACACACATGTTTCATGAAAGCAGGCAAACACCTACACATACAGGATTTAATTTCAAATCAATTTCCGATCCGCTTTCCATGTTAGTAATGCCCGGTACTTGTAGACATACGATCATATAGTTATAATACTTGGATTAAAATAATTGTCTCTGGTGCAACATTGCAGCGCGAATTTAAACGAAGGCCAAACAAAGCCTTCAAGCCAAGTCAACTATTGCTTTTGCTCCACAGGGGGCTTATATAGATTTGCCCATGCGGTTCCTCCACCATTGACTACCATTGACTACCATTTTGATTCCTTTTCATGACTGTTTTTGTGCGTTCCCTCAAATTCTTTTTTCGTGACTGTTTTTGTGTGTTTCCCTGTTCGGTTTCACAGGGCCTTCTGAGAAATAGATTTGACCCTCCTTTTCTCCCTGACCAGCCGGAGAGTCATGTACAGGCATATGGCTTGACTGAGAATCGCATCTTCTTGGACCAGTTTGTGCAGGCAAGTTCCCCCTATTGTCTGTGCAATCAGGACTTTGGTTGAACGAATCTTGATTAGCACGGCTAGACGGAGATGCGACTGTTTGAAGGACCTGGGCAGCTTGCAGAAGGAGAATGACCTTCAGCCACAAATCTCATGTTCTGATGTTGCAGCCTGCCTGCAAAAAAAACAAGGGAGCTTGGCTGGAGGTCTTAACAAGTTTCTAGATTCTAGTCGAAGAATGTCTTAGAAGGCTTCTAGTTGAGCTGGAGGTGGGGACAAAATCTCAGAAGTGCTGCTGTTTTGGCCTCATTGTGGCGCCAAGGCCATGTCACTTTCAATGGACATAATACCTGGCCCCATTTCAGATACCAGCAGCACTTTTTATCCTGTGTAGAAGTGCAACGCTGTGCAAGTACCTGAACAAACTGATGGTATGTATCGCAAGATCTGGCAAGGACATGCAGAGTCTTAGAGATTAAGAGCAGTTCAGCCGTGTCCGCCTGCAGGTCCACATTATTTTTTCCTTGCTCTGTGGTTCCAGTTCGGCTTTGGAAGCGGTGCCTCTAGCAGAACATAAGGACAGCCTGGACAGCTTGTGTAACTATGACTCTGATACGGTCAATGGTGTCGTGGTTTCAGATCACAGCCTTGGAAGGCCGAAGGCATTGGAGAAAAGTATGGACCACAGGCCGAAGGCTATGAGGTACTCTTTCTACTGGGCTTTTGGATTCCTGGATTCCGGCAATGGTCAAAATCGCTTCTCCCCCTGCACCAGGACCATGATGCCATCAACCGCATGGAGAAAGAAGCAATGTGGGACAATTTCTATCGGGCATTTGATGCTGTCAGCAAGCCTAGACGAGTTTGGGATCATGCTTTGGTGCTTCAAAAGGCTTAAAGTTGCGAGTATCTCAGTATTGTCCATGAGCAAACTACCTTAGCAACTATTTCAAAGAGTTCACGCTATTGGACGGCCATGTTTTTGAGACCAATGCATCAGCCAATGAAGCTAGAAGAGTTCAAAATCTTTGGTCAAGCAGTGCTGCTCTTGCAGGCTTGGTGATTTTGTTGAATCTTTGTGAAAGCAAAGTTGTAGAGTTGTGTTGTGCTCATACAATTGTGGAGGGATGTAAATATCCAAATCCGTCAATGATCAATGTGATAGAAGATCAAACAGCGGTTCCAAGGGCACAGACGTCTGTATCTATTTTTCCCAGCATGGCGTAGAATGCGTAGAAGAGTATGGGGTTATATATATATATATCCTCCGCACAATCAGTCGCAGAATGCCCATCATTATCATGGAGATCAGGTGACATCCATCAGGTGACATCAGGTGACATAGCATTTCATAGCTGTCCTTGCCATCACCACCGCCACCACCACCACCAGCAGCAGTAGCATAAACAGCAGCAGCAGCAGCACGAGCACGAGCACGAGCACGAGCACGAGCACGAGCACGAGCACGAGCACGAGCACGAGCAGCACCAGCAAGCACCAGCAAGCAGCAGCACCAGCAGCACCAGCAGCACCAGCAGCACCAGCAGCACCAGCAGCATCAGCAGCATCAGCAGCACCAGCAGCACCAGCAGCACCACCACCACCAGTACCACCACCACGAGTACCAGGATCAGCGACATCAACTGCACCACCGGGATCACCAGTGGCAGCAGCAACTTCTGCCTTATCGGAATCGGAATCATCCTCATCATTCTCCTTGTTCTTATCATTCTGAATCATTCTCGTCATTTTCATACTTCTCAGCATTATCATCCTCATCAGAATCATCATTATTCTGGTTTCCTTCGTTCTTTTCTTCCTTTCTTTCTTTCTTTCCTTTCATTCCTTCCTTCCTTGCTTCCTTTGACCGGCCTTGCCACAGCAACTTTCCTTCTGTATTGTCACTGTACTGGCAGCAAAGCATTTTTTTTAAAGAAGAAAGCCGGAAAAGCCTGCATGATTGACATCTCCAAACCTGAGGTGATGTGTACCAATGCAGGTCTGATGCGTCAGGGCATCGTGGAGGCCGTGGAAATGGCCAAGGCTCGCCTATTCTTGACACTTCAATTTCTCGTCCTGTCTTGATTGTTTGGCTCCAGAATTCCTCTGCTTGTCCTCACCCAGCCTTTGCTGATGCCACAAATAGTGGTGCCTTGCCATATTTTTCTTTTGTCCAGTAACAGTATTAGTATATACGTACATGTTTCATCATGTTTCTAATCGCTTCTCTAACATCAAGGAACCCTGCACCATATGTGCAAAGCGGTAAACGTAGGAACTCAAGCGGCGTTCCTTCCCAAGTGCATCCCCAGAAGTTGCCAGCAATCAATAAGGGCTTTGACAAGCTGCAGCAGTTTTTGCCCTTTTGGCCTTTGCATTCAGATCCACTTGAATGTTGGCAAAGGGTCTTGGTGGCCTCAAAAGTTTTGTTTTTTTTTCAAAAGGGAAACCATGTCAGTCCGCTTATGCAAACTGCAGCGGATATAGAGTCTACCAGTAGTACCGCACAAGGCAGTGGCGGAAGTTTCAGAACAGGAAACCTATAGGAGAGCTTGGTTGTTGTGAATCATGGATGGCAGAGCGAATCCACTGATGGACTGAAAGGTGGTTGGACTTGTGTTTTTTTGGAACGGCTGCAATGGTTGCAGTGGTCACCTGGTCGGTCACCTCGCCCACAACTGCTGGATGTAGTGTGGTGTAGTGCGGCTGCAGTTGTAGTCGTAGTGTAGTGGAGTTGTAGTTGTGGTGTAGTGTAATTAGTGTAGTGTAGTTGCAGTTGCATTTGTGGTGGTGTAATGAGTGTAGTGTAATGTAATGTATGGTAGTGTAGTGTAGTCTAGTGTAGTGTAGTGTAAAGTAGCGTAGTTGTAGTTGTAGCTGTAGTTGTAGTTAGTGTAGTGTAATATAGTGTAGTGTAAGGTGGTGTGGTGTAGTGTTATGTAGTGTAGTGTTATGTAGTGTGGTTGTAGTTGTAGTTGTAGGTGTAGGTGTAGTTGTAGTTGTACTTGTAGTTGTAGTGTAGTGTAGTGCAATAGAGTGCAGTGTAGTGTAGTGGAGTGTAGCGTAGTGGTAGTGGAGTGGAGTGTGGTGTAGTGTAATGTAATTAGTGTAGTGTAGTGTAAGAGAGTGGAGTTGTAGTTGCAGTTGCAGTTGCAGTTGTAGTTGTAGTTGTAGGTGTAGTTGTAGTGTAGTGTAGTGTAATTGGTGTAGTGTAGTGTAGTGCAGTTGTAGTTGTAGTTGTAGTGTAGTGTAGTGTAGTGTAATTGAGTGTAGTGTAGTGGAGTGTAGTGTAGCAGCGTGGAGTGTAGTGTAGTGTAATGTAATTAGTGTAGTGTAGTGAAACAAGTGTAATTGTAGTTGTAGTTGTAGTTAGTGTAGTGTAGCGCAGTGTAGCGTAGTGTTGTGTAGTGTAGTGTTGCTGTAGTGTTCTGTGGTGTTACTGTAGTGTAGTGTAGTGCAGTGTAATGTAATTAGCGTAGTGTAATGTAATTAGTGTAGTGTAGTGTAATGTAGTGTAGTTGTAGTTGTAGTTGTAGTTGTAGTTGTAGATGTTGTAGTGTAGTGTAGTGTAGTTAGTGTAGAGTTGTAGTTGTAGTTGTAGCTGTAGTTGTAGTTGTAGTGTAGTGAAGTGGAGTGTAGTGTAGTGGAGTGTAGTTGAAATTGCTACAAAACCCTCACGTTTTGCTCACTTTTGACAAGGTGCACAATCCCATGCGCCTGCCACACGAAACGACATCTGAATGTCCAAAAGTGGTCCGTACCCGTCAGTTTTTTGCACTTTTAAGTTGGAAATGTGCTTGGCGCCACAAGGGCATGCACTTTATGAACATCTCAACTTCCAAAAGTTGTCTGAACGTGGTGTGTTTTGTACATTTTGACTTGGAAATGTGCTTCGCGCCACAATGGCGTGCACTTTTTCGACATCTCAACTTCCAATGGTCCGAACCCCTGGTGTTTTTAACATTTTGACTTCGAAATGTGCTTCGCGCCACAACGGCGTGCACTTTTTCGACATCGCAACTTCTAAAAGTGCTCTGAACGTGGTGTGTTTTGTACATTTTGACTTGGAAATGTGCTTTGCGCCGCAATGGCGTGCACCTTTTCGACATCTCAACTTCCAAAAGTGCTCCGAACATGGTGTGCTTTGTACATTCTGACTTCGAAATGTGCTTCGCGCCACAGCAGCGTCCACTTTTTCGACATCGCAACTTCCAAAAGTGCTCCGACGTTGGTGTGTTTTGTACATTTTGACTTGGAAATGTGCTTCGCGCCACAACGGCGTGCAACTTTTCATTTCTCATCTGACCAGATGGCTCCGCGCCCGCCGCTTTAGCGAGCCCACTTTTCGACCCTCCGGAGCCACAAATCATTGGAAAAACTCAGTGAATCACGACTTTTTTACCTTTTCCCGCACCTGCATCTTCTTTCTTCTGACTCTTTCTCTTCTCTGATCTTCTCTCTTCTGCTCTTCTCTTCTCTGACCCTTCCCACCTCTGCTTTTCCATCTGTCCATGTTGTAGGAAGTTTGACTTCTAAACTTCCTTCGAGCACCCAACAGCGGACCTAGCTGTTAACATCAAACACAACTCTATTTTTGTGCCATTGGGCAAATGTCGCCCTACCTGAAGTGCGCAGGCAGTGCAGACTTTGGCCCGTCAAATCAGGGACACAAAAGCCATGAAGGCGAAGTGGCAAGGAGAGATTCGGACAACAACAAAGAGGATGCCTAACTTAGTCGTCATAGTTATCAGAGACGATTGTTGCCATAAGATGTAATGTCAAGTACTGGGACAGGCTCGATGCGGGGGAAGAATGGGGGTCACAAGGGTGGCGTCATGTGTTTGACAAGTGCGAGATATGCGCTGAAGACAGTGTTTGTCCAAATGATTAAAGGAGTGAACTTGTGGTTTCATGGCAGGGTCACATTCTCCGGCACTTGAAAACAGCAAAGATATCAGCATATCAGCGAGCGTGCTTACCTCTTTCGAAAGATCACTAGACTCGCACACAGAATTCATTCCTAAACTGCGTTGTTCAGATTCATGTTCATGCCCATCAGTTTTTCATTTTTTTGAAATTGTAGTTGTAGTTGTACAACGCATATGGCCTGAAACAGGCTCTCATTTTTTGATGTTGTCATGAGTGGAGGCAACCAAGCGGTTTAGATGGTGCAAAATTGACCAGCCACCAATGATCTTCCGGCATACCTTGGCGGTCAGAAAGCTCGTGCAAAACTCAGGGGGGAGTTTTTGGGAGGGAACCCTGTTTTGGAGCATGCTGACCCGCTCAGGCTGGGGAGTGGGCTCTTGATGAGCAGGAAAGTAGAATGAAAATGCATTATGTTCTTTCAGAGTAGAGCCTTCAGTGAGACTAAAGCCCCGAGGTCAGTGTCTTCACAGTGGTCAATGCGTCTGTGGACTCTTATAAACACGAACTTTGGTCTCAGTCAAAGCAAGATTTCCTCCTCCAAGATCTAGACATTATGCTTCGACCTTGAATGAGTTGGAGTGACGGACTCATGAGTGAATACAAAGTCGAGATAAGTCGAGCAAATGCGGTCTCCTTATGGAAGACTCTTGACATTCTCCAGGCAATGTGGCTCTCGCAGACGCTTTACTCGTTCAAAGCGCGTGGTCATGGGTCAGAGCTGGAACGTCCACTACTGGTGGTGGTCCGTGATGTGATCAGTGAACCTTGGCCATCTAAGACCTCGCTGGAATTAAGCATGACAGAAGAGACATGAAACAAAGCAACACACGCCTTGAAGCGGTTGGTTCATGTGGCTCTTGATTTTACACATTGTCGGTAGAAGGTAAAGACTGACTTTTAGGTTGCATTGCGGTGTTGGAAGACAAGTTGACCCGTTGCTCAAGTGGTCCTTCTGTGAATGCTTTTGTATGTACTTTGTCCTTGTGCGGCAGAGGTGGTACAAACTCTAGTCATATAGTCCTTTTTCTCTTGGCAAGTCTTTCTGGTTTGATTCTGATAAGTAGCAAGATGTAGAGTGAGGTGACTGAAGAGTCAAATCAGCTGTTCTCGCGAGTCCTCTTTTTCTTGCCACAAGGAGACGTACCTCTGCGTTGGGGCAACGCCTCAATCGGTGTCAGATCAAGACGAGTTTGGAATGCTCTTCCGAGAGGTCTTCAAAAAGAACACTTCTTTGCGGTACCGTCACTTGGTTCAATTGATTTGATGATGTGTTTGCGAGGCAGGTTCAGATACATGTGACCACATATGAAATAGACGTGAAGAATCAAGGTATGAAGAACATGGACAACATACCTATCTATCTGTCTATCTGTCTATCTATCTATCTATCTATCTACCTATCTACCTATTTATTTATCTACCTACCTACCTATCTATCTACCTATCTACCTATCTACCTATCTACCTATTTACCTATCTACCTATCGATCTATAGATCTATCTATTTATGCATCCATCCATCCATCCATCTATCCATCTATCCATGTATTCATTTATCCATCTATCCATCTATCCATCTATCCATCTATCCATCTATCCATCTATCCATCTATCCATCTATCCATCTATCTCTCTATCTCTCTATCTATCTACCTATCTACCTATCTCTCTATCTCTCTATCTATCTATCTATCTATCTATCTATCTATCTATCTATCATCTATCTATCTATCTAATCTAATCTAATCTAATCTAATCTAATCTAATCTAATCTATCTATCTATCTATCTATATTCATAATGATTTAATTTGTATGTAGATATAAGTATTTTTTGTATATAGTATACAATTGTACATAAATAAATATGTATATATATATATACACATACGACGCATTGATAAACTCCCATGGTGGCACCACTGCCTTATTTTGTACTGTAGGAAAGATGGTTTAGTTGTAGTTGTACTAAGATTGCATCCAAAGTGGCTGGGGTTGCAGCAGGACCGAAGTCAAGGTTTCGCGCAAGGTCCACACACATGCTTTGTTTTATAGATGACTGCGAGGATTTTTAGGGCTCGGAGTCTGCTTTTTTGAACATGTGGATTGCTTGGATTGTGTAGAATTGACCAATTGTGAACCTTAGATTACGCAGCAACAAAGTGGATGGCAAGCATGGACATCTCACACATGTAGGATGTAAGAAGATTTTGGCTGACTTGTTGCGCGCAAAGTCGCAAGACGCAAGGTGGTGATTGAGGGCATGGTATAGACATAATATATAGACCCAATCACAGAGAACAGGTTTGGTCTCAATGCACAAACTCCGCCTCAGATCCTAACCAATTCACAGTTCCAATCTTCGAGGTTATGACTTCTTTGACAAGTCCTGCATTGGAGTCGCTGCAGATGACATTGACCGATTCCTGAATGCGCTGAAGTTGATTTGAACATATCAGACAGCCCTCATTGTACCTTATAGCGCGAGTCAAAGGGTTTGCTGATGCAGTTGAGCGTGGCTCAGTCTGACCCCTTTACGCGACTCGCTCGAGCTGAGACCTTGGAAAGCAAAAGGCTTTCCCCAAACAATCGAAATGCCTGAACAGTTCTGTCCTCAAGAAACATCCTTGGGAAAAAACAATTGCAGATTTTTGCCAACCATGCTCAAGCTCAACGGCGACAAACCCAGGATTGTAACAAAGCCTTTTCTATTCCGATGTAGACCCCTTGATGGTTCAAACTCACATTTTGCCTTGCACTTATAGTTGCATCATGTTGCCCATCATTTTCCATTTAGAAAGGCGTGGAAAGTTGCAGAAATTGTGAAAATGTGCGAGTCCTGCTTTTAGAGATGGTTACTGTTGGGGTTGCCAGCTTTGGGGCGACCAGAGCGCACTGGGGAAGCAGAGTCGCCATCCAAGCCGCAAGGCCGCTATGCCTCTAAGTGACTATGCCACTATGCTGTGTCTAACAGAGTCTAATATCATTACGTGATTCACACCTCCACGGACATGGCAATAGACTTGCGAAAGGTAAGCATACTGTGGACACTGTGGATGGAAGAAATCCTGCAACAGCTTGTAACTATTGGAAACTACCAAACACTGTAAAGAGCCGGACTGTAACGGAATAAGCCATCTACCACCTGGTGCAGGATTCGTTCCATCCAGAGTAGGATCATGTTGGGACATATGCTATGTCCGACCAAGATTACATATTACATGTTATCACATCATATAAATATGCATTTGTATAAAGCATATATAAATATTACATGTATATGTATATGAATATGTATATGAATATGTATATGTATATGTATATGTATATGTAAGTGGATACTTGTATCATCACATCATGCCATGTCATATAATGCAATGACATGAACAGCGTGTGTACGTGTTTGTTTGTATGTCTGTGTGCGTGTGTGGCATGATTCATGACGCAAGAATGCTTGAATGCACGATTCCATATCATGCAAGCCAGCAGAATGCAACGAGCCACTGATATACTGATTACTTCCAATTCAAGGCAATGTACTGTCATGTCCTGTCACGTCATGTCAAGTTCTGGATTCAATACATGACATGCACGCACGGCTCCAAGGCAAGCGACCTGTACAGGCTTCACGGATAGAAATGGCTGACATGGCTGGACACGCATGTACATCATGTACAGTGAAGGCCTGCGGTTGGATGGTATGCTTTGTGCTCTGGCGGAGCTGCGAGTGGGATGTGAGCGACTGTCGAGCTGTGGGAGAGCGCACTTCAACGCACTTCTAAATAGACTCGAGAAGCCCAAGGAATCCATAGTAACTGCCATAGTGAGAGAAAGAAGGATACTGTAATCTAAAAAGGGGGAGGAAGGCCAAACACAGAACATTTATGTGGACAGGAAAAGCAGATCAGCAGATCGTATTCATGGTCAGACTACGGATCACTTTCAGAATTGGAGCTTGTTTAAGATGCAGTGAAGGGGTTGGAGAATTGTCTACTAGCACTAATGTTGGTGCGGCAAACGTTGGGCTCTTCAGCTGTTTGACTTGAGAAACTGAGCTTTGACAGTTGTTCACTCAGTGGCGATCGAGTTGACTGGCCTGACACTTTGCGGTCAGGTGCTGTCTGTTCTCGCTGCAAAAAAGTTGACCGCAACTGTTGTGGATGTGACAGGGGACAAGAGCAAGAAAGATATTGGAGAAATGTGAGCAGAGGCTTCTTCTGATAAGACCTAGGAGTTCCAGGCGGTTAAAAGCTGCAGGGGCAGGACTTTCTTGGGAGAACCAATATTAAACGATTGATCACGGTGGTAACAAGGTGATGACAAGGTGATGACAAGGTCATGAAGGTGTGATGATCGCTTGGGTGAAGAAACGACCTGACTAACTTGCTTGGATTGTTCTGAACTTAAACATGTTCTCTATGCGCCAAGGTCATGTGCCAAAGTGCCGTGAGCATATATAGAAGATGATAGAAGATGATAGAAGATGATAGAAGGAAAAAGTATGCAGGATGCACAGTGGAAGCTGCTCTTGCATCATTCAGAGTGCATGATTGATGCCATCGATCCACCCATACTCTGGCTGCAGAGTATCGGATGACACAAAGTGTTCCGTGTTTCGTCGATGTCGGACTTTGATTTTGGACCGCTTTCACTCTAACTCTAATTGAGAATTTCTTCAAGCACAAGGTCGCATCAAAACAGCAATGGAACCTGCCCATAATTGCATCCACATTCCATACAGTACCGATTAAGACCTCACAGAAGCAATCATACCGTGGATAGTAGCCTGGTTTCGAGATTTGTGCAAGAAATGGACTTCACCAAGTTTTCTGCTCGCCTAACAGATCTTTTAGCATTGGGGAAAATCCACCAGCAAACATGTGCGCTTGGAGACTGTTTAACTTTTATAGGTTTGCTTCAGCTGATCTTATATTCGCGAGCATCAATCTTGCAAGACAGCTGTCCTTGCTCGACGCAAGCCGCAGCAGTTTGTGGTTTTGGAACGGACACGAAAAGATGTGCATGTATATATGCGTTATATATATAGATATCTACATCTATATCTATATCTATATCTACATCTATATCTATATCTATATATACATTAATATAGACACACACACACAGACTGCGTGTATAGGCTGTGTATACACTTTTAATATACACGCATCGATTTTAAGACAAACGCACACACAAACCTGTCTAGCTACGCACATAACCTGTCCGATTTGCCTTGAATCTATTCTTAAGGCTACTTTGCAAGCAATGACCAGCAGCGTTTTGGAGGCCGTTGTGTGCGTTTGAGAAAGATTCTCTAAGATGTTTTCTCCTAATGATTACTATGGTCAAAATGAGTCAAAATCCATCCGATTCAAGGGCTCTCAGTCGGTTATTTTCCGATTCGGCACACAGTCTGCGTCACCATGTCGCGCCGAGATGAGGAGGCACAGAAGCTGGGTGGAAACTTCTGCCCATATTTGCTTCGCATAGATGGCTTATATCCGTTATATCAATTTGATACAATGTGCCGTTCTGGACTTCCAGAAACCTATATGCCCAAATGAGGATGTGTAAAGCATCTCTGATTGAAGTTTCTGATCAAGGGGTCGCGTTTGCCCGAAATAGTGCTCATGACCGGTAAAGCGATAAGGAATAAAGAAACTCTGTATAAGTATGTACAATTTTCTTTTGGGACAAAACAATAGGTCGATCCAATTTACATGGGTGTTATTGAGCTCAAATTTCAGAATGCTTGCACCAAAAGTCTATCCAGAGCAATTGGTGTCGACATCATGTGGCGGTAGCATGTATACTCTGTCGCCTTTATTCCCGCACGTGTGCGATAGGATTGATACTCACTTTAGCATTCCACAACATATAAGCCTATAAGCCCAGTGCAAAAGGTATGCAGTACCATATCTTGCTTGCCACTGATCATCCAAAGTCCGGAGTCCAGTTGGTCATCAGATTTGCCAAATTTTGTTTTGCTATTATATTTTGCTTTGCAGAGAATCCTCTGATGTACCTAGCCATGCTTAGCCCATGCAGTAAATTTCAAGAGTCCAACGTTCAGGCTTTGGGACCTCTGTCTTGATATCTGCCAACGAAGACCCTAGCTGCCCTAGCTGGTCTAATTGGTATGCTCTGGCGGCTGTAGCGAGATACTGATTGTTATGCCTCTCCAAAAAGAATTGATGATCAATGCTTTTGATGCATTCGCAATTCAGCAAAGAAATCACATCCTCATCAGACATGTTTGGGCAATGCTTTCTATGCCAGTGCGAGCGTCCTCGAATGCTGCGGATTGAGGTGGGTATGAGGGCAGCTGTGGACTGTAATTTCACAGATTTCACTCCAGATTGAACGGTTATTTGGGTAGTTTCATGTAGAGAATTTGATTGGTTTCAAGCACAAGTTGACCGATCTATGGGGCCATTTGTTTCGTTCATTGGGTCTTGCCGTGAGGTGTAGATCCGCAATATGACCATTTCAAAGTCCTGCTACTTCCATCTTTCTTCTCAACTGCATTCTGCAATTTGCTATCGAGGTGCATGGCCTTCTACATGACTGGTTTGATTTGGTCTGCCTGCCTAGCGGCACATCGATTTTGTACAACAAAGCCCCATTGAAAAGCCTTTGTAAGCCTTTGTAACTACTCACTTACTCTATCTTCATAATGCCGGTGGGCCTGTTGACATGCTCTGCACAGCTAGCGACGTTGTTGACTGGCCTTTTGTAAGCAGCAATTTGTGATGGGAAGATACTTACATTTGCATGGTAGATAGAGGCCACTTGAATCCGCACCGAGATGCACCAAGGATGATTTGGGAGACATGGTTAAGTCTTCAGGCGTGAAGAGAACTTGGCTGAAATCTTCAAGCTGCTTAAAGACTCTTTTTGTAACCAGCATAGTGTTTGAAACACGGCAACACTACTTACTTGCATCCTGTGATCGACTGCTTCTCGCGCACCCAAAGAGAGCCCATTCTTCAAGATGCACACACACACAGACTGAATGAAACAAATAGGAGACCTTTCTTCTATTTTCTTCTTCCCTAGCATCATGTATCCCTGGCATGAAACAATGAGCATATCTTCTTTCTGCACTGTTGATACCCTTATCTCGTGGGCGAAGCGAGTTCAGCAATGTTTCACCGGTGCAGACTGTGCTCGTTTTCTCATTGCGCAGGTTTCAATATCACGCTTCGAGAAAACATCGCTCGTTACTTCGGTGTGCCGGTCCGGGTGCACAGCCAGCGATGTGCTTCCCCGGGTAAACAGATGGTGAAAACGAGTTGTAACGAGTCATAATGATCAGGAGAAAGTTGAAGAGAAATCTTCAAGCGCTGCCACACCTCAGCACAGTTTCTCGAAGGAAAGACGGCACAAACACCTCATTTCTGCGCAGGCTAAATGCCCTGATTGAGCTCTCTTTGTCCATTCCACATTTGCACTTGCCCATGATCAAGTGCAGTTGGTTTAGTGCATGATCATGTGACCTTCTTGCTGCACATTGATGTACTACCCTGGTGCATTGAAACAATACAACAAACCATGGATGTAAATCATATAAAAGGCTATCGAGCTTGGCAACATTGTAACATGACTGCATGCACAGGCACAGTGGTCACATGATGCACATACTCTCACACTCCTTCAAGTTAGACAGAAGGCAATGGGTCTGAAAGCTGGCAGGTGGAACAACAAGCTCTATACGACGAGGCGCACCTGCTCTACTATTTTCGTTCTATCATGCAAAATGGATCAAAATGGTGTGTCCTGTTCAAAGTTGTGATTGGCAGAATTGGCAAGTTCACATTTGAACGCTTCCATCCCAGTTGCAGCGTCATCGTTTTGTCATTGTTCTTTTCCATTTTATTCCTTTTGCTTAGACTTTTTATAAACTTTTAGATCTTTCATTGTGAAAATGGCAATCCAGTCTAGCAACTTCTGACCGGACAGGATGGGCTGCTGGCAACAACGGCGGACTTGCGCTGGACCCTTAGACTGAGAGAATCACAGTGGTCTCGCACTCTGCTTCTTGCAGGATCTTCCACTCTGATCCGAAAAGCGAACATCCCAGATCTTGACATGTCTCCACACGTCTCCACACGTCTCCCCAACCAAGCTGCGTGCTCAAGGCCGTGCTTTACAAAGATATGCTCCTAAGCTGTACGCCCTAACCTCAAGATTGATAGCAGAATGCCTTGCAAAGAGGTCTCGCAAAATGATCATATTTTGTCACAGTCATCACGAATCAAGCTAGCTGACAGCTCACAAAGCCCGGAATCTGCTTGTAACCCAACAGACTACAGCTCTTGAACTTGTGAGCCTTTATTGCCCCGGCAGAGAGACAGCTAGAGAGAACACATGCACATGGCAGACATGGAATGTCCAAAATGAAGCATGACAGAAGCAATTGCGTTGAAGATGAGCTGTACTCTGCCGTATTCCCTCCTGAGAAAAGGGAGAATTACAAAGAACTTATTGACCTATTGGTACACAGACATTTGTGGGGAACTGCTGCACTGCAGGCTGTCTGACATTGCTTCCTTACCAAGGTTTACAACTTCAGTGAGATTGGACCCTCCCTTGGCATGGCAGTGGAGTGGTGGATTGGAGTGCAATCTCAAAAGCAAGTGGAACATTTTGCTGAGTAACCAAAACTATGCCAAAGTTATCAAAAAGACAAGCTAATAACAGAAAGACAGAGGCTTATATAATCAAAAAGGCGCGTACCATCCAAGATAAAGTTCTCATGTCATCCAGTTGTGTATTTTACTTTTCGAACTGGGAGGGTTTGGAACTCTGAAGCCACCTGCGTGTTCTTTTGCCTGTGTTAGGCAGCGGCTTGTTGCTTCGCCATTGTCTTCAATCATGAACCGCAGGCAATTTTGGAATTTCAAAAATCTGCCCCAACAGTTCCCCACGCTTTCAGCCCGTGTCTCGCCTGAAAGGGAGCGATGAAGATCATCTTAACTTGGCCATGATAACCCCTTGCTCATCAGCAACACCAAAGCTCAAATGACATTTGTCTTGCTCAATCATTTGTTGATGAGATATAAAACTCCCAAGAACACTCCTTCTTCCAGATACCTAAACTATAGCCGAAGCTGAAGCTGCCTTTCAATTTGAGTCGCAACTTATTGAAGTGACTTTTCTTTTAAAACTCTCACAGTACCTTCATGCGAATTCGTGTCTGCTTTACGAAGTTCTTCCAAGTTCTTCCAAGTTCTTCCAAGGTCAAGACTATGGCAGCTGCTGAGCCGGACTATTATGAGCTTCTGGGTGTCTCCAAGGGTGCCACACTGCAGGAGATCCGTGCAGAATTCCGCATCTTGGAGACGAGATGATGTAAACGCCGGTTGTATGGGAAGAGTGGCAACAGCAGAAGATCACTTCAAAATACTTCAGAGTACTGGATGAGAGTTTTTGATGTTTTTGACTCGCTGTTTGCGCTTCGACTTCACTTTCAAAAGGCAAAGTCGTTGCATGCTGCCAGTCTTGAGAGCTGGTTTGTGAATGTTTGTGACAGGGTGCAATGATGTGCAATGATGTGCAATGATGTGCAATGATGTGCAATGATGTGCAATGATGTGCAATGATGTGCAATGATGTGCAATGATGTGCAATGATGTGCAATGGTACATTCTTGCGTGATTACAAATATGCTATGTTACGCTGGAGGTAAAAAAGTCTTGGCAGAGCACCCGGACAAGGGCGGTGATCCCAAGAAGTTCCAATTGCTGAACAAGGCTCGGTTTGTCTCGGTTTGTCCAGTCGAAATCAGTCGAATTGAAATCATGTTCATTTCATGTTCATTTCATGTTCATTTCATGTTCTATATGATGTCTATATGTTCTTGAGCTCATGGTCTTTTTGAAATTCAGTCTTGGCGAGTCATAAGAATGAAGAAACTCTTTTGACAAGGAGTTCATCTGCATGGAATTTGAAGATGGCCTTTGAGTCTTTGATTTGAACATTTTAAACGAGATACTGGGTCCAGAGTATGACAATAGCATTGCAAAGCAGGAAGAAAAGACCTAGCCATAGTGTTGACCTATGCGAAACGGGGTTGATTTGTGCCTTGTATAGCCAGCGTAGCCTCGTGATCCCTCGTACGTGATGACCGAAATCCCTGGTTTTCGCGAGGCGTACAATGTCCTCACAGACCAGGACAAGCGACGTCGCTATGACACCACTGGAAGAACAGACAGGAGCTGCATAGAAGCCTCCAACATGTCTGGGGTCCGTGCTTGAGGAAGCCTGAAATGTCACGCAATTGGTTCCACGCCTTTTGTGCATTCTTTTGCCTGTTTGCTTTGATGAGGCTTTTCCCCCTTTTCCCCTGCTTGCACAAAATTGAGGGAACTTTACCCGAACAACCATCGACTCTGAGCAATTCCCAAATGCTTATGGCATGCTTCGAAATTGTTCAGAACAAACCTCGGATGGAGTATGGCAGGGGGGAAACCTTACTTACTCGAGGAGAGGATAGATTAGCTATGTTCGCTCCGTCCACATGGCTGTTTGCAGTGAGTGTGGCGGCAGGACCGCAGAGGAGGAGTTTGCAGCTGCTAGGCTGGATTGACGTGGAACAAGAGTCTTTTGAGATGTCTTTGTATTTTGTTGTGTAATTCTGCGATTCCCTATTTTCGCCTTTAGCGTTCAAGATCACGGACCAAATCCAAATGTAGAGGTACTTATACATACTATGTATATCTATGTATCTATAATATATCTATGTGTATATATGTACAATACATGTATACAAAATTATACAAATATTGAATATCTGTCAATATTTGTATGAGTTCAGGCTTTTCGCCAAAATGCTGGTGCACATCTTGGCAAACATCTTTGTGCTAAGGAGTCCTTTGGTGGAGGCCGACTGTCAAAAGAGCAGCGGCCAAAGGAGGCAGATGAAAGGGCAGTTGTCAACATGGAGGAGAGCACTGGGAGAGCACTGGGAAAAGGGGCACAAATTCGATCGACAAATACACATTTTGATCAGTTTTTTTTTGCTTCAAGGCACAGAATAGCATGACGATTTGATCCTAAAGTCAATGTGTGGCATTTCCTAAAAGCATGGGATGGTTCCATTTTGGCAAAAGTCATGCGTTTCCAATCTTTCCCATCGATGCGGGCATGTGACATGATGATACATGATGATACATGATGCATATCTCCAAGTCGACGATTTCCAGGAGCGCATCTCCAAAGGTCCTCAGGGTGAGCACGAGGAGGGCTTCTCGGAATGGCTACGACAGCGTGACCAGCAAGAAATGGCCACTCTCCTAGATGCCCAAGTCACCTGCATCTAGGGCCTAGGGATTGCCTTGAATTTTGGCAGGTTTCTTCCATGTCACTGCAAGAATACGTTCTTGGAGCTGAGTGAGACAGCAGGGCTGTTTTGGATCTCAATCAGGAACCCGTGGGCAGAAGACACAGCCTTGTGGCAATGGTTTCTTTCCACATGGCATCTTGAGCTCGTCCACAAAACGGAACACGTATTGGCATATTGGGTCTGGAATTCTGTAGCCAGTGGAAACTTGAGATCACTCAGAAGATGTGGTTGGCTTGGAAGACCAGGTCATGACAGACAAGGACTTCATGAAGACAGCTCTTTTCAATGCGGCAGAGAAGCTTGGACTGCATAGACAGCGCGCAATGATCACACATGTACTTGCAGAGCGAAAACCTCCAAGCATATTGGCATTGTGTGTCTCCGTCCCTTTTAATGTCTTGTGGCTAAGTTATATAGTCCTTGACCTTGGTTTCCGGGAATATTCTAGGACAAGGCTTGTTTGTCTTGCCAATGTCCACCTCAAGTGCCTGCTCCTCATCCGCTGATATTCACAGGGTTGATGACATATACTATACATCTGATATTAGAGTTATTAGATATCATATCAGATATTGATATTGATATTATATATATACACATTACATAGACACTAGATAGTCGAGGGGCTTTGCTCTATTGCAAACTAAGGATGACGTCACAAGTGAAACATTCCGGGCTGGTGCAGCATGTCTTGGGCTCGCCGGGAGGCACAGAAAGGCCTAGGGGCCATGACAGCCACACTTTTCTGTGTTGCCTTCGCAACAAGGAAAAGTGCAACTGAAACACATTTGTCCATCAAATATGAACAAGTGAGTTCAAGTGCAGATTGTTCATGGACGTATGTGCATGTGTAGAACGCAACCTTGTGAGTATGTAGCTGTTTCCCAAGGCCAAAGACAGATGCTTATGGACAGACACTGGGAGGTGCCGTGCAAGTACAGTGCCTTGGTAGCAATGCTGACAGAGACAATGCTTCAGTTCCGGATGTTCACAGAGATTGCAATTTAGCCAATGCAAATTGGACATTTCTAACTGCTCCATAGCATTTGCGGACCAGAGTACTTCGTGTGAACGGTTTCAAGAGGTCAGAGTGCGTTTCTAATAAGGAGTTCTGGGAAATGGCGCAAGTGTTCACTGCTCTGCATGACTAGTAGCTGGCTTCTCCCAGCTGAGAAGACTTGATCTAAATCTTCTGCGCATGGGGAAGGTGAGGTACCCTATTGCTGGAAATGTCTTCGGTCAAGTTTGGTGCCAAGGTCAAAGCCAAAACCAGTCAAGAAGACCATTGACCATGATGTGCCTTGCCAAGAGACAATTTGAACCTGGAAGCGATAGGATGCATATGTCCTTTGGACAGGGGCTTGGTGTGAGAATTGCGGAGGTCTGCGATCGATCGATCTTTTTTTTTGAAATCATGTTTTCCTCGTATCACCTTTCTCAGTATGATATGTGTGCCCTTCTCTTTGATGTTTCGCTTTATCAGTTTCAGCATTTCGGATCTTGCCGCGCTTGGCAGTTTAGTGTGGGCTTTTGACCTCCTGAGCTTCGCAGGTTGTCATGGGCTTTTCATCTCCTTTGTATCCTCATGTATCCTCTATCATTGCTCTGTGGCTGAATGCATTGACTCAGGAACTCTTAGTGCGAATGTTGGCAGTCCCCGTGGACGACTCCATGGTGTATGCAGAGTTGAACAAGAGCGGAGTTTGCCTTGGAATGACTGGCGTTGGGAGGCAGGAAATGGATTTCTGAGGGAAATGATCCGTGCATCATTTGGTTGCACTTCTGTCATTTCTACGAATCTTCCACAGCTGGTCACCCACCACTGACCCACCACAAGCACATGTATTATGCATGGGCAGAGTTGGCTCTCAAACTGATGTAAAGTCTACGCTCCCGAGAACACCATTCGTGAGTATTCTTCGGCTCGGGGTTCAAAATACGTTACGCAGTGCTTCAGATCTCCCCATAGCCCTTGCAGGATTGAGCAGGCCGGCACAAGATGTGCGGAACTGAAGGAGGACGGAAAGTAGTCATTGCATTTCTTGTTAGAAGTGAGCAACAAGTTGTCAGACAGAAATGGGCAGATTTGTATCGATTTGTATATCAATATCTTTCAATATCTATTTCTAGATTTAAACACATATTATATGGATATAGTTATTTTACCACTATTTTAAAATATGTTGAGATATGTACATCGCACGATGAAAGTATCCATCCTGATTTGCCACAGGATCACAGCCACATGATCCGTCTGGTTAGAAAACTATTCAAGATTCTGAGAACCGGGTTACCCTTGGTTACTAAGTGGTTCCTATCAGCTTTGAACCTTCGTCTCACTACCTGGGTCCAGCTGAGCATTGGCATTCCAGGAGGATGCGGTGCTCATCTTGCCAAAGCCGACCAAATTCTCCTCACAGACTTTTGGCGCTCTATGGCATTCCACAAAGAAGTTCTTAAACAATCCAAGGGGTTTTGGCACTGTTGATGAATACATATTGGTTGCAAACTATAGACAACCAATATGTTTTGTTCTTATCTTCTGCAGTGTGTCGTCTTGCACTTGCTCAATCAAGAATTCGTCATCATATGATTGAGAAACTTGCACAAGTTACCAGAAGGAATGCAGCAGAACTGTCAAACATGATTGATCAGTTGAACAGGCTTAGCTTCATTTGCATAATTTGCGAAAGAAGAGTAGAGAGACTGAACATCTAACTTCTTGTCTTCGCAGAAGCCGCTACTTGGCAGACTTTACACAAACCGATGTTGGAGCAGACACAAAAACGAAGAGTTTGCACGGCTGGTATTGGCACAGTATGAAGTCATTGCATCTGAAGGCGTACTTTTTTTCCCTATTCAACCCAAGGAGGCCAATTGGTTCCGCGCGCACATTGCTCCACTGCAATGAAGAGGACGGTCTGAAAAAGAATTGGTGCCGGATCTGAGTCTTTCGAGCTGGCTTGATACATTTTGAGAATTTCAAACACGGTCAAGCGTGTGGCATGTCGCCCTTTCAGCATGATCAAACAACACCTATCCCACTGATTGCTTCCTCTATCTACACTGGGGTGCTTGCATGGGCCACCTTGCACATTGCAGTATTTTGGGGCCACTAGACTACTAGACAACAGGCAACGAGTTTCTATGAGCCAATGCTTGGTGAGCCAATTTGGGATCTAGTCTTCGTCAACGTAGGCGAGACGCAACACGATCCTTTCGCAAAATCCGTCATCAGCTTTTTCTTCCAACGTGATGTCACTCTTTGCAAATACATTTGTTCCAAGGGAAAGGCCCGCAAAAGTCAACCAGAAAGAAAGTCCATTTGCACACCCCTTCTCAAGTTCAGCTGCCACTTGAAGACCCAATATGGGCAACCAAGGGAATGAGGCCAACTTGCCTCCTGTTTCTGCTATGCAGGATGTGATTCGCATTCCAGCAGATGTTCTGGAAGAGCTCACTCCGGAGCAGATCTGTTTGGCTCCAACCATTGCATTTGAGCAGCAAATCAGGAAAAGAGATGTGATGATGAACGCAGACAAGTCACCCATCCAGAACAACAGTCCTAAGGATAGAGTCTTGTGCCAGTATGCAGATTCTTAAATTGAAGCTTAAGGCTTTGAAATGGAAGTGAAGCACTTGTTGGGCATTCTGGGTCTCAGCAGTCCGTTTCCAACCTGTGGATGTTTCATGATGTTTCACGTTAGGTCTGCGCCTATTTGCTCCTGGAGATCTTCGGGGCAAAGTTGAAGCCAGGTGATTCGGTTCTGCTCAATGCCGCACACCTCAGCGCAGCGGGATCCTCTCTGTGTCTCGTCCATATCCTCCATGCCACACATGCCACACAAACGAGATACTCGGGATTTTCACCCGCACAATTTAATGTTGACTGGTGCCAGTACATGGTGCACAAAAAGTTTTCTAGTAGAAGTGGTGCGTATAAGGCCCATACTGCATGTTGCTATGTTTTCCCCGGGGAAACAATCACGAAACACCCGGGGATCTACTCCTTCGCTTCGCTGTTGCCAAGCGGTTTGACTATGAGCAAGCACTGCGCATCCAATGCTTCACTCCTCGTATCCGTATCCCACACTAAGAACACACGGAGGCGATGATTCCATTTTTGGATATTTTTTGTACACCTAGTCGCAGCATGTCGCAGCATGTCGCAGCATGTCGCAGCATGTCGCAGCATGTCGCAGCATGTCGCAGCATGTCGCAGCATAGCCAGGTTGCAGCTTTGCAAGCTCTTGAAATTGAAGCCCCTCTGCTTGCTGCCTTTGCCGGGAGCACCCAAGCACTTGGTGAAGGGCGAGTACGGCTCCAAGAGCGCTTGGCAGGTAGGGGCAATGTTGTGCAACAATGGCTTTTGCACGGGTAAAACTAAGACCATAATATTATATATATATAGATCCATCCCAGTCAACACGATCCTCCAGTTCCGCAAAATCAATACAGCAAGAGCATGCAAAGCCTTGGAACATTTGCACAAACAGTGGGGTATAGAATAGTGGGTGGGAAGCTATAGAGTAGAGAAAGACAGAAGAAACATGTGCATCAAGATCTAGTCAATGTGAAGTCTTGAGAGTGAAGAGCAGGGCCGATTCTGCGGCTGTTGCAGCTGTGTGATGATTGTTATGTTTGCTTTGTTGCCTCGCAGTTTCCGAGTTGCTTTTTCCTGAAATTGGCCATAAGTGTACGGGCTCTCTGGCTTTTGGCACTTGTTGGCACTTGTAATTTCTGTCTTGGCATGTCTTGGCTAACAATAGTAACCAATATTAACCAATAGTAACAATGGCCAACAGATGCCAACAGCTTTCTTGGCTTCAGAACCGCAGGATGCTGAGACGCGATCGCAGCCAACGAAGAATGTGCAGAGCCAATACGAACGCATCAGCGAGTGGTTGCTGACCATGGGTGCAGAAGAGGCTGCATCAGTTCTTCCAGCATTGCACGGCACTTGCCACGGCACCTGCAACTGTAATAAACTGTATATATATAATAAACTGTAATAAACTGTAATACCGAATCCTTGGTGAATCCTTGGCTATTCTTTGACTACTCCTTGGCTATGGGTGCTGTCCGATGCTATCCGATGCTCTCCTGATCAAATTTGCATCTAGCTAGACTCGCTTTCTTGATTGATCCTGTTTCGACATTTATCAATTATATATATATATATCTTTTTGGCATTTTCTCTTCTTAGCCATTCTTGCGCAGGTCTTCCCAGACGCTGTGGCGTTGCTGCGATGGCGTGACCGCAACCAGCGCATGCTCCCAAAACTGGCCTTGGATGGCATTGTGCAGATCTTAGACTTCTCAGAGCTCAACCTACAACACATCAGAGCAACTAACAGGAAATTTGTTGTGCCCTGCTTTTGCTGCAGTTTGCATGTCAATAGCAGTGCCACTATTCACGAATATCCACCACGAATGAGCGCAGCGTCAAAACAGGATTGCACGTCATCCTCAAACACGAGTTTTTGAACATGGTTCAACATGGTTCACCTATGTTCAACCCACCTCTGTTTAGGAGCACCATCAATTTACACTAGCCCTTGCGATCTGAAACACCGATGTGCAGAATCGAGTGATTTAGTCACCACTTCAAATGCTCTCTGAGGCCACAAGAGATTCAGCTGAGCAGCTGATCCATTGTTTGCAGCCAGGGGACAAGGACGAACTGAGACAGTTTCCATGCATTCTTTGCTTGTTCTTGCTTTTAAATAGCTTTTTTTCTTGCTTTTATATCCCAATTCATGGCCCACATTTCCAGGAGAAGTGAGGATTAGGGTGTATGAAGATGGGAGATGACAAAGCAGTCATTTTCAGAGGGGTTCACAGCATTCAGCGGCATGGCACGTGGGATTTGCTGAGCCAGGACGCTCAAATGGTGGTGTATGGCCATGGTGTGCAGCAGCCGATTGAGATCGCGCCACCTCTATTGGCAGCATGGGGAAGCTTGTCCTCGTCAAAGTCTGGAAATGTATAGGGCATGCGGCATAGGGGATCATAGCTGGGATCATAGCTGGGATCATAGCTGGGATCATAGCTGGGATCATAGGGGGTCTTGATTCCATGAGTCACGAAGCGTCAAAGAATGCTTGTTTCGAGACTTCAGACTTTGCCACTTGACGCAGCAAGGTGGAAGCTTGATTGGTTTCAACATCGCACGCTGGGTCCATGCTCTTTCTGCCAATGTCCCCTGGCTTTTGCATCTGACCTTCATCAAAGATGTCATGTGCAGTGATACTGCATGGTATTGGTAGACCTGCAGATGTGAAGTTTCATTGCCTTTTGGTCAAAGAGTATGCTCTAGCCCAGCCCTTCAGGGTCCAAGAGAATACAGTCTAGGTACCTAGTGCGCGCCGGCTTCATTACAAAGACCAGCAATAATTCTTGCATTATCTTGAATTCCTTTCAGTGAAGCCGTTGGAGTCTGAAGTGCCTTCTAGAAAGAGTGGTTCTGAAGTTCAGGTGCAGGGTGAGGTGACTCGGCTTTCTTCACCTCGCTTGATTTGTTTCACCGAGGCCAAGAAGATGATGGCAGTTATGGAGAACATCACCAAACTTGTACGCGCCAACAAGTTCACTTTGGACACTGTTCCTTTGCTGAGTTGATTGAGTTGGTTCGAAGATTTGGTCTACACAGGTCTACACAGTCTACACAGTCTACACATATCCAAATCTAACGCATTCACCACAAGTTCACATATCCAGGGACGCTCCTTAGCAATATTAGGCAATATTCACTGCCAATTATCGATGGTTAGAATTAAAGCAGTCTGCAGTTTTCTGCAGTTTGCCTGATGCTTTTTGTGATGAGGTGCTTTACAAAGTGGGCGAAGACGCGATCAGCGATGCTTTTGGCCGAGCAGCTGATGCCTCCGACAGTGCGCAGGTGGTCTTGATCTTTCCCACGCTGCGCGAGGAGTACCTTTTCTGTAAACAGAGCTGAGACATGCTGAGACTTTCTTGGCTGCTTTTCCCACAACTATTCTTTTACCATATCTTCAGATATCTTCACCATCTTATCACTTTTCCCATGCTTTACCAATGTTGTCAGGTGAAACCTTTAGAAGTTCAGAGAGTGTGAGTATGATTGAACACCATGGAGGCGGCATGATCTGACATGAAGGTTTCAAAGAAGCATAGCAATGCCCGGCATGGCTGGGCATTTTCTGGCCTTGTACTATCTTGTACTCACAAATCAGCATTGGAAGACTGACTTCAATCCATCCGATCATCCGCACCCCAAGATCCGTCCAGCATGCTGAAAGGCTTCAAGAGATGTGTTACCACTCATTGCTTGAGAAGACCACAACATCGCAATGTGAAGAAACAACGCCTCAGAGTAGTTGGAATGTTTAGACAGAGTAGAAACGACCTGTAACCGAACGAACAAAGATATAAGATAGATAGACTTAGAGATACTTAGAGAACGTGTAAAGATTTTGCGAAGAATCTCATCGAGAAATACGGAGAATGTGTAAAGAATATTAAGAAATCATGTAATAATTGTAAAAGAACGTCATTTGTTCGAGTAACTTCTGGTCTCGCCGAGGTTGCAGAGCAACCCTGAACCAATGGATGATCCTGCGCCCCGTGGAGCTGCCAAGGAGCGTGAGGGGGTCAAAGGTGTAAAGAATAGAGTTGAAAAGAGAGAACGTGGAAAGAACATAGGGGTGACATGGTGTGAATCTGTAAAGAACATGGAACAAAAATCAAGAAGATCTTCAATATTTTTCCTTCGTTGAATTTGTTTCTGCATTTGCACTCTCCATTTAAGCAGAATATTTCTAGGTACACTACTTGGATAAGTATCCTGAATCCTCAGACTCTATCCACACCCTCGATGGGCACCAAGTGCAGGGTCCAGATGGTGCGAAAAAGAAGGAAGAGGACGGCAATGGCATGAAATTCTGGCGGAAGTCGAAATGGTAGATCAAAGTTGATCAAAAACCATTCGAAGTGGCAGCTCGGAAGGGTCCTGAGGTTCGCCAGGGTTTTTTGATATATATATATATACATATGATATGATATGTTCTTCACTGCAAATCTGAATCCAGAAACATGGCGCACGCAATCATTGAACAAACAGTAGAAATAGCTGAGTTCCAAGCCAAAAACAGAAGACCAAAACGAGATGGATCCAATGAAACTCAGGTTCTCCTGTGCTGCATTGGGTGTTTGTTTTGGGGGGCCAATGGGGCTCTACTCCAACCCTGAAAGGACGAACGCGAGAAATTGAAGGAAGACTGGCTGAAGCTGCTCTTCACAGAGTCTTGCCTTAATTTGAGATCTTTGCAGTACATGCCCTTGCTGATGTGTGGACAATGAACTCATCACAGGTTTCAAGGCGATTAGCAATGACTGACAATTGCAAAAATCACAACCAATCCCAGATATCACAATATCATATGAACAATATGTTAAGGCTGTTAAGGTACGCTTTAGATCGCTTTAGTACATTTGACTAATTGATGCTTCATTGACACCACGAGCTAAGGACCGCAGCGTGGCAGCTGGTGCACCTGAAGGTCCGTTGCCAAGTGTCTTGGAGGTTGGTGAGCAGAGGCCCGGAAACGTACACGGTCCTGCTACATGATCTGCTTGCTGAGAACATAGGTAGATTCTTAAGTCACTTAAGTCTTTGGACACGATAATATTTTTGGAGATATACATGGATTTTTCCTTTTCAACTCACTTTGACCACCGTCGGGTCTTTTTGCTCCTTCCTTTAACTTTCTGTTTTATCATACTTTAGCCGCTTTAGCCAGTGATGAATTGGACCAGTTGAAGCATTTGAAGCCCGAAACAGACGGGAGTGCGCGGAGGCGACCAGAGTCGCTGGTCGTCTGGCTGGGTGACAATCCCAAGTCGGAGAACATTGCGCTCAAGGCATCGACCATACAATCATTACACATCGTTACATATCGTTACAATCCGTGCACCAACTCCAACTGGAGAACATGGAGTTTGTCTCTTTTTTTTCTCCAGCAGACGTTTGCCAGAGCTGCGCCCAGCCAGTCCTGTCATACCAAGATCCCAGTTGACTGTTGGAACATCTCGCCACCGTAGAATGTGTAAACACCACCCAGAAGTGTGGCTTCTGTTGTGGGCTGACATAAATTTGAATGTGACTCATATGTGTGATATATGAAACATATTATATATACAATATACACATACATATACACACACTTAAATCTGATGAAATCTGAAAACAGTGGAAAGAGGTCCCTGACAGTCCTTGCACACAGTACAATTCAGGGACGAAGCACATGATTTGGCGAGTCTGGCACGTCAGGACGTCTCCAATGTGCTGGGACGAGCTGGTTTGGTGTCGCTCTCTTGGTCGCAACATCCTGCTGGTGAAGGAATGTTGGAGTTTGAGGCTGACAGCTGACGAAGAGAGAGAGAGAGAGAGAGACATCACTCGGTAGGTGATACTGGGGCTCAGTATCCATCAGTGAGGTTGTTGGGGATGCTGTTGGCAGTTTAAATCTTTTATAACATCGGTCCAACTGTTTTCAATTTCACGAAACTCAACAATGGCTGGCTGAGAAGCTCCGCTTGGCTGGACATCCGAGATGATCCCCGATTCCAGGTGTTTTTTTGACAGTCTGAAGAGCATCTGGAATTGGCTGCTTTGCGCATCGCGCATCGGCTTGGCTTAAGCCTCGCACTTGAAATCATCTGACCGCTACTGATTCCTTGCAGGTTTCCTCGTCAGAAGTTACGGATGGCACCTGGTACATGCGCAATCGGCAGTCGTTTGAAAACGAGGCGGGATCGGCGGGTGCCAGAGAACACACAGGGGGGTATGATATTGTTGAGGCTCCTAGCAGATATGACAACAGTTTCTTGGTTTCTTTTTTCTTGACCCATACATAGGCTATCTCTTATCAGTTTCAACTGGAATGCTCGCATAAACTGTGAGGGATCCAAGATTCAAGTGGAAATAGAAACTGTCCGATCCAACGCTTAGTAAAATGATCCATAGAGTGTCAATATTTTTTGGAAGCTGGGTTAATTTACATCATGACGACAAGCTGCCAAGCTATGTTCAACTCAGCGTGGTGCCGAATGACCACGATAGACCCAAAGTGCACCCTGATTGCAATGTGCTAATTACAAAAGAACAAGATGGAATAAGTGAAGAGGAAAATTAGGAAAAAGAGAAACAACATGCAATATGAGACATCATGAGACAGGACAGTGACAGGAGCGCTGCCTTCTTTGAATTTTTGGCATTCTTGGCGTCATGGCTATGTCATGGCTATGTCATGGCTATGTCATGGCTACGTCCAGGTTTTCGGATTCGGACATTTCGGATACGTCTTGATGCCAGGACCTGGACATGTTGCACGATGTGGAGGTCTTGGGCCGTTCTTTGGTCGAAGCCTTGGAACCGAAGCTGAAGCAGAGCGGTGCCTTGGCCAAATCCGCTTCCAACACGTGCAAAATTCTACAAAATTCTGCAAAATTCTACAAAATTCTTTGAGATATTTTGAGATATATTTGAGGCACGGATAGATCCGGATGGAGTCAGTATGTGCTCATTACATTTTATTACCTTGTACACTTCACTGAGAGCAAAAGAAACTCCGGGCACAGGAACAGTACTTGCTCTTGGGGACTTGCACCGGCCCTTGAGTTTTGATTGCAGGTCTGGGCTGGAAAAATGTGATCCTGTGCGGCTTTGGAAAGGGCGCTGGTGTGGCATTGTATGCGGCCCTGATGAAGCTGATCCCGCAGCCGGTGGGAAAAAGGGAACAAGATTCAACGTCGCATTCGAGTATGTTTTCGCACTTAGTAGAAGCATATTATAAGAGCTATGAGACTGTTATCCTTGTTGTGCAAATCCAAGACGCATACACAAGTTGATGGATGGTCTTTGCATCGGATTTTGTGTACAATGATGTACAATGTACAGGGTATGTTTATCTACATACTTTCTGAGCCAATCCTTCGCACTATGTTTCTCCCTGCAGGTGTCTGCCATGATCTTCTTTAGTCCAATTGAGCCTCATCTGAATGGTGACCACGTTAGACAATGTGCCCAGTTTGTGATCAAACTAGATGGAGACGGGTTGGACTGACCCTGTTTGGACTCACTCACCTGTTTTTGTATTGCCGTTTATTTACCCAGAAAATAAATCCGCGAATCAGGGCGCTCCAGTGGCCAAGCAAATCAGCTTTGACTTCTCATTTATAAAGGATAGGAAGGTTCCTGCGACATGCCATTGTACCTGAGGAATCTTGGAATTTGAAATCACATGAAATCACTGAAATCACTGTCGTACCTGTCGTCCTGGGTACCTTCAAGGGCCGCGCTGAGTTTTCCGTTTGCACATCTTTACCGAATCTTTACCTGCTTTGAGGTGGCGTTCCCAGGCTACCTGGCAGAACGCCTTGGCAGCATGGCTCGTGATACGAAAACTGCTGGGATGCCTAGCCCGATCGGTTGGGACGAAGTGCTTAGGCTTAGGGACCATTCGGAATATCCAACTCGTATCGACCTTTGCAAGTTTAATGACGCCGCAAAGCTTCTGGCAATCCGGATCAAGTAGCACTCACGCAGGCTTCTGCCGAAGAGGTCAGTCCTTTCCGTAAAAGAAGCAAGCAAGCAGAAGTGTGTATGCCATGCTGGATAAGTAGTCGCCTAGGTTTTGTGTCATACCAACACCAAGGCGGTGCATAAATGTGAATTATCACCACACCGTCCCATACATTGTATGGCGGAAGTCTCAAGAGCATAAAAATCCTGTTGTTTTCGGCTTGTTTTCCCTTTGTTGATTTTAGGATTTATAACGACCGCAAGCAGTCTTAGGATGTCTTAGGTTGCAACAGGATATCCTTATCTTCACACGCTTGGATTTAATCAAACCGTCAGGTGAAGACCTTCATCGTGTGGGGCAACCGCAACAAGTCCACCCCAGGCACTGTCCTTTTCTGAATAGAAATCAAAACACATGATGCCTTTGACACTTCAACTCACATTGTACTTCTATACATTTCTATTTATTTCTGAAGAAGTCCGACATAGTGCCGCAGACATTTTTTACATTGCTTGACTCAAGGCCGGATCAGGTTTCCTGCTGTCGCAGGACATGATGGCTGCAAAGACTGGGAGACATTCTAGATTCTAGCTGCACCAAATATGGACTGCAAATGTCACTGGCCACCAGGCTCCTACCGGCAACTTCTGGCCCAGGCGCTTCGAAAGGCACCCGAGGTGGGACTTGATCAGTGCTGTTGGAAGTTGTTTCAACATTTTTCATTGAGTAGTTATCTTAGGACCTGTCCTTTGGCAGCTTGTGGCACTTGAATATGCATGCAATAGACACTTATGCTTATGCTCGTCCTTCTTGTTGCTATCTTTGATTTGATTTGGCCTGTTTTTGTACATATTGTGATGCACTGGTAGTATTTTTGTATGGGGTCCCAATCCCAGAGACACATTGGTTTGCTAATTGAAGGTTCATCATTTTGACTTTTCATCCCTCAAGGCATTCCCATGACTGGCACTTGGTTTCATTGATGTGCAAAGCAAGCTGGAACCCAAACAAACAAAGAGTGGAATTTCGAAGTGTTTGAGTTTGCTGCACACATCTATATATACTTCTTTAAGTTGCTTCAGTTTAATGTTTTTTTCGCTGCAAACCTATTGTTGCAGGTGCACTTGACTCCTGACACTCTGCCGGAGGGCGACCACACCTTCGATGTGTCTTGCAACAACAAACAGGAAACAGTGTGGCAAAGTCTTCTGAAAGCCCAGTTTAAACACGCGCAAAGTTAGTGTGGCAACAGCAAAGTCTGAAGCGCATGTTATAATGGCTGAATTGATTCAAGGGAGATGTTTCTAGTACAGCAAAGCACTACATTTTATGCTAAACATATCTAAAAATCATGGTTTCCTGTAGATTGTTCCTTAAAGCAATCCTGTAGATTGTTCCTTAAAGCAATCCATTGATAAAAGGTAGAAGCCCTGTCGCCCCTTCTCGTGTTGCATTTCTTTGCTCACATTTGGGCAAGAATAGTAGTCCGCAGACCATCTGCATCACGCATTTTCACCATCACTCAGTGTTGAATGTGCAAGGAACGTCGAGTATGGATGATAGGCTCCGTTAATCATTTGCAACTCCCCCCATTGCTAATCTTTTGGTGCTGAAGAACGCAGTGCTCTCAAGGCTTCCCAACCAACTGTAGCTGCGGAACCACAATAGACACCGGTTGAACTGCAAAGAAGTCTCATATGCTGGTGACTTTCTCATGGATATGGCCACAAGCTCACTGTCCGGATAAGTGCAAGACCCGAAGTGATCCATGGCACTAGACGCTCATGCTTTTGGTGCACCCCGATATTTAAGGATACATATCAACATGACATGATGTTGACTGATTGGACCTTAGAAGAGCCAGGCCTGTCCAAGCCTGGCCAAGCCCACAGTGTGGGATGAACTCAGCCTTTCCGGCAATTTTCCTCCCCGCTCCCTCTATCTGTTGCACTTTGCTGTCTGCACACTGTAACCAACAAGATCAAGCTCCTCGCGGTGTCTGCGCAGCTACCCCTCCTCCGACAACAATGGCTCAGACCCGTGGTTCAAGGATAACCAACGCAGCGCCAATCAGCATAAAAGCCAAATGCATCAACACTGGTCATCTCCCTCGATAGCCAGTGCTAGCATGCTTTATTTTGAATCTCAATCCATGATGAAACTCTCCAGAGTTGCGGGGGGCTTCTTAATTTTTAGAGGGGTATTTTTGAGCTTGGCCTCAATGCCCGCGATCTTGTTTTTTCCTTTAATTCCCCAATGTTTTCCTTCAATTTATGAGCCACAGTCTACTTCAATATAATTATATACATATACTACTTATACATCAGGATACTCTTCAACTCTGCACTTCTTTGCAGTTGGCTTTGCAGTTGGCTTTGCAGTTCGGTTTGAGGTGAAGAGTTTTGGAGTGCTCAGCTCTCTGCTGCCACTGTGCTTGCCTCGATGAGACCGATGACACAATGGCCTGAGCTGAGCCAAGTGAGCCTCCCACTTGGGTCATAGCGACAGGCTTGTGGGAAGCTGGTTTTGAGATTACGTTTGGATGGCTTGAGGACCAATATAGACGAACTTAGACGGTACAAGTGAGAACCTGATTCACCCAGTCCATTTTTGGTGTATATGTTGGTTCAATCCTGGATATGCTCAGAGGATGCACAAAGCTCTTTTCTTTTCCTCAGGAGCGCATTTGTGCACATTTGAAACCATTGGAGGAGGTGCCAAAGCTGAGAAACATATCCTCCCATCCCATGACATCTTCACTTTTGCTTCAGAGACATCTGTTTGTTCCAACAAGTGACGGAGGGAGGGCTGTCATCTCTTCCTGAGCCGCAACCGAAGCCGCTTAAGTCAGTTGCAGGTGGAAAAAAAACATAGTTTGTGTGGGGGCGTTGGGATCACAGACTTGGACTGTTGGAAGCCAGTTTTAGTTACAGTTAACTGGCCTTCTATTTTGGTAGATAGTTGTACTCATGACTGTAGTCAGCCATCTTCAAGTTGGCTGCCGATAGATGTACCCTGTTAAAGATGTCTGTCCCTATTTGTCAGTTGATCTATGAGTAGTTTGTTTATCTCATTATTTTTCCACATCTTTGATTTGACTGATAGGCAGAAATTTCAAGTTGAAGGCCTGATCATGCGCATGTCAATGTCTGAGGACGGCAATTGCACGAGAAGACCTCGGCGCAGTTGGCTATCATCTCTCAACAAGTCTTGTTCTCAAGAGCAGGCAATGTGACGAAGTCATGCTGGTTCGAAAAAAGCAAGACACGACACACTTTCACTCACAAGTTCCTTCTCACATCCCAGTGACTCCATATGTTCACTCATCCAAGGTCGCAGAAATGCAGAAGATACACTTCAATGGCGCTCACAGCGTGTGAGACCCCAGCCTTAGCATATTTTAAGATCTGAAAAAAAGTAAAATTTAATATAAGATAATCTAAGATAATCTAAGATAATGATACAAAATGATACATTGAGATTATGCATTGCAAAGGATGTGGAGAGGTCGACTTCCTGGGTCATGGACTTCCTGCAGAACTCAACCCCCCAAGCTGTGATCCTTTCACACATTCCCTTGGCTTTGTGCGCCTTTGTGCCACTAGTCACATTAGTCTGACATGACTTTGCCTCAATTGCCTCAATTGTATTCAATTGTGTATTTTAACTATTCTCACGATGTACTGTACTGTTTGGCAGTCAGTTCGAAGTTGCTTTCAAGCAAGTAAACAAAGATTAATGTGACCGCATCAAGGCAGCAATTATTTGTTGCAAAGTGGTACCATGACATGCCATGCTTGAGTCATCCCATCCCTTTGCATGCTTCAGATTCGCCGACATTGCAAATCTGGGTTCTGCTCGTAACAAAGCTTGACAACACCATGAATTTGGAGGACAGTAAGTGACGGTAAGCATCAAATGATATCAAATGCATCAGAGAGATGCAAGACAACTTACTTGTAGCATCAAATCAGACCTCTTTCTCCGGTGCCGCGATTTGCAGCTTCATTTACATTCATTTACCATCTTCATTTGTGAAACTGCAGGCTGCAAATATGGAGCCCCAAAGCAGGACTTCCAGGTGTCTGCTGCTGGCGTTGACAGACTCATGTTCCAATGAACATTCCTGTCCTCAAACCATATCTACAATACCAGGGCATGCCTTCGATACGGTGGCTCTTGCTGTGGAATATGTGCGAAAAGAATCGAAAAGAGCTCTGTGTTTGGCTGTGATATTTCCTCGTAGGTCCGACCGATACATATATACATGCACATGCAGACTGTATGAATGCACATTCAAAAAGTATCAATCTCTCTCTCTCTGTATATATATATAATATATCAATCTATCTATCCTTTTCTCTTGCCATCTTTCTATCTCTATCTATGTATATGCATACATACATAAGTATACAGTATACGTGCATGTAAAAGTTGAATGCAGAAAATGATGATCAGTCATAAGATGTTGGGTTGCTTTGTTTTCAGGCGACCCATGCACACAGACATGTAATGCACGTAGGGGCCCACACTCGTTGCCACAAAAAATGCCAGCCAGCTCTTGGTCCCTCTTGACCTCTTAGTCTTAGGACAAGCAGGCTGTTGTGGGTCCATCCTTTGGTATAAGGACTCCAACCAACCTCTGCATCCCTTTACACTGAGTCCTTCTCATCTTCCATTCATTCTCCAGTCTTCCAGGCCCTCCCACCTTTTTTTCTTTGAAATCTTGGAACCTGAGCACCTTTGCAATGAAAAGCACGTCCTGCCCTCAAAGGGAATGCAAAACATGGAAGGATGGATTAATTGAGCAGTGACCTGGCAAGCGCCGGACTTGAAAACATATGTGCTTGCACAAGCATAGGCACATGTATTGTATCTATATATAATATATATATGTATATATATATATATATGCATGTGCTTACATATTATTATACCCTCAGGCCGCCTGGTTCGCCGTCCGTGTTATCGACAATGTTGCGGTGGGTTTGGAGTGGGGGTGGTTTGGGGTTGGAGGGGGGTTTTAGGGGGGGTTGGGGAGGCGCAATAACGTTCCAAGAGGCTGCGTCCTGAGCCATTGCGTCGTTAAGGGTGGGCTGGCTGTCGATTGCTGCTGTGGTTACTATACGTTTTCAGGGTGGCGTTGCTACGTTGATACTAGATCGATGCAGTTGCTACATTGATGCTAGATCGTTGCTACGTTGTCAGGAAGGAGTTGCTACATTGATGCTAGATTGTTCCTGATTTTGCAGGGAAGGGTTGCTACATTGATGCTAGATCGGGGCTACATTTTCAGGGTGGCGTTGCTACGTTGATGCTGGATGGTTGCTACGTTGTCAGGGAGGGTTTGCTCCATTGATGTTACGTCGTTGCTACGTTTTCAAAGACAACCAGGACTCAAAACTGTCCTCCAAGCACTGCAGGTGCACAGAAAACAATGTTCCAAAGGCATCGTGCGAACTAGCCCTGCAGATTGCCATGAAGCAAAGAAGCTGCCGTGGCTGAACGGATGAAACAAATGGCATTGGAGGCGATGGCGAACCAGACGGCGAACCAGACGGCGAACCAGACGGCGAACCAGACGGCCAGCCCGTAATTATATATAATAATATATATATATATGTATACACATATTATAGATATTATATTTAGGTATAGATGTGCCAATGTGCATAAGTCCTGCATCATTGTAGAGCGTATGCAACAGTTTGGATGCCATGTGCGAAGCTTACGCGCTGCAATGTGACGCAGTCTAGTGTTGTGTGCTAGGCTGTCATGCACCAAATGATTATAATGTAACAGAAAGTAGCAATATAGTGTAGTATAATGTGTTTTCATGTATATAGTGTAACGCGCAATGCCCTCCAAAATGTTTAATGTAATGTATTTGTTTTTGGCACTGTAACATCTCTGTTCATACCCCACACATCCACATGTGATGTTTGTATGTACATTGTGCAACGATTTATGCAAATTTACACTTTCGAAGTGGTTTGTGTCCTCAACAACCAGTTGATTCTATCCTGCCTTTATCTCCATAGGGAAAAGGTGGATGGTAGAGACGAGACAGACTTGCTGACCATCAACCCAGGTGCTCAAGGATCGAGACAGATAAAAAGAAAAATGAACTCACCAAGTTGCTTCCAAATTGCTTCCAACGAATGGCACAAACTCTTTTAGAGTCCCATTCTTGCGCATCAAAGTTGGATTCATATCAAAGTTGGAACTTACAAAAGAGTTTTTGGACATTCTTCGCATCACGTGCTGCCATGGGAAAACTTTCTGTGCGGTGTGAGTTTGTGGAGGGCTCCAGCAACAAATTCTGGGAGTGTGCCGGAGACTGGATGGAACTGCATGAAACGACAAACTTTGCTTTTAGTTCACAGTATAGTTTGCGGTTCTATTTTTTTTCCTCATGACAAATTGAACCATTTCGCTGTTTTTGCTTTACAGATCTTTGGATGGATGAATCTACAAAACTTGGCAACAGTCTGCAATAGTTGTTGTTGACGTGTGAGCTGCATGCCGCACTGAGTGCACTGTGTGGGTGGCAATTTTAAACCAATTTTCTCCTGATTTGCTAATGAGGTGTCCAAGATGGAGTTTCTGTCACCTCAAGCCATGGCAAGATCGGAGGTGGTTTGTTTTGTTTTTGCGTGTTTGTTGGAACAAAGTGGGATTGATGGGGCTTGGAAGACTTCAAATAGTTAGATAAGAGAGGAGTTTGGAACCGCAGTTGCGAGTGGAATCAAAACCAGAAACGCATTGTAAAAAACGGGTCAGGTAAGCTCAAAAGGCGCCATCACAAGCCTAGCGTCATAGCGTTCATCAAACAAATCAGGTCGAGGGATGCAGCGGTAGGATGTGTGAAACAGCAGAAGGGCACTTCTGCGAAGGTTCTCCCAGTTGACATGGAAGCTGGAGATACCGGAAAACATCATGTTGTGAGGAAAGACGCTCATCCTTACTGATGCCCTGCTTCTGGCTCTAGATTTCTCCCTTACTTGTGAGATTTCAGGTGCTCCGACGCAGATCACAAAGACCTTTCCCAGCGAAGCCAAGGTAGGACCTGGGAAAGGTTTTTGAAAAGATCATTTCACCCACCATGCATAAATTTAGCTTTGTGCCGGCCCTAGAGCTTGGACGCTAGTAGAGAGCAGTCGTATGTGATAGGCAGTCAGAACAGCAAGCAGGAGTGGTCACCACATTTGAAGCTTGAAACTCCAAATATATTATGTATCTAATACAATATGCTTTTAAGTTAAGTCAGCATGCGAATCCTTCCTATTGAAGAGCCAAAATGGTGAGGTAATGCTAGTCGAGCAACTTGTGCTCCTTTTGCACACCAATTGAGAGGCCAAGAACTTCTTCCACTCGCAACTGGAATCAAAGCTAAAGAAAGGCCAGCCTAAAAATGGGCAGCACACTCATTCCTGAAAGAAAATTCAGATGCCTGTGGAGTCGCAGTGGAAGTAACCCGAAGTAGCGGAATTCGGCCTATGTCATACTTAGCAGCTTGGATCGGTGCATTCACCTGTAGCGGTCAGCAGTCGTTGATGCTGTTGCGTGAAGAGATGCGTAGGAAATCAAAAGAACAAAATCAGGACGGGTCACTACAGAGGGCCAAATGGCCAGTTCAACATGTAGGGCTTGGAGGATTGTACTGCCCTATGAAGACAGGCTTTGGAGCCTCCCTGCATCTCCACAGCAACCTTTTGGGAATCGTCGTTTCCATTCGTTTTCTATTCGTTTTCCATTCGTTTCTGCTGGAGAGGTTACACTGAAAGTGGCAAGGCCAAGACCATCGGCAAGGGATTTGGCAAAGCTCTGCCCAAGGCCGCTAGTATTATGAAAGTCGCTATGAAAGCTGCGGTGAAGAAGACTGCCATGAAAGCACCTGGGCCGCGCATTTCTCCAAGCTAGTGCAGGTAGTGTCACTGGTGGCCAAGGCATTTTTTTCCCTGCACACGCCTGTTCTGCATTTTCAAGGATACCAAAAAAATCCAAGAAACAATTGGAAGGAATCAGTTTCATTCAGTTTCTAGATTGTGTTGTGTACCATGCATGCTTTTTAGGCAGTGCTTGTTGCAAGTAGCAGTCTCTCCAGTGCAGACTACGCTGGAAATTCTAACACAAATACAGGTAGATATGGAGTCAAATCTGTTATATACAAGGTGTTTGGAAGCTTGAACAGTATTCAAAGTAGTTTCTTTTCTCCCAGCCATATACAGAGACAAATCATGACAAAACAGATAATTCACCAGCAGTCAGCAATTCAGTCACTAGTCTATTCACTCAGTCTCCCAAGTCCCCACTCGCCAAGCCATCGTGGCACTCACTCACCCACTCAGTACCTATACGCAAAGTCAAGATCAAGAAACTCGGACATGGCTTTGCCGAGCTTTTCAAGCAAGGCATATGCAGAGTTTGTCAGAGTTTGTGATTTGTCTTCCCCACGTAAAACACGTGCCTACATCATTGGAGGGAACCTCTGCTGTGCGGCAAGCAAAGCTATGCAGAGTTGGTGGGCATTTTTTGTCACAATCGTTCCTACTGGGTCTATGGTGCAGAATTTCTGTATACAATATATTTACTGCATACTCCACCAAGACCAAGTCAGTGCATGTGCATGATGTGCTTTCTTATGGTTGAGTGAAGAAGAGGGAAGAGCAAAGGGTACGGATAAACCAAGAAACCAAGACAAAATCAAACCTTTTTCTTTCGGTTTCCCTTTTCCTAGGGGTTTCCTTGCTGTTCAAGACTACTGGGCCCTGCATGGACGCTGCTTGTCTAGTCCTTCCTGTATTGCTGTTGCATAATCAGTATGCTTAAGGACAACTGCAAAATCCATCTTCGACCACTATTCTGAAACACGTACAATGCGCCCCATTCAAAACATGACAGCCACCATGGAAGAACACACACACACAGACGCACACACGTACCCCTGGAAAAGCTTCTTTCCGCTGCCTGCACTTCAAAGCAGTCAACCCAGATCTCCCTGTGCCCAGGCAACCAAGCCTAGTGGAGGCGCAGATGCAGAGTCCGTGCGGTTGTGGCGTGGGTTGAAGGGGAGCGGCTTTGTTTGTTGTGACGCCTTTTTTCCGTGTTTGTCCAACTCCTGGAGGGTGGCCTGTTGCAGACTTCTGCAGCTGCACGTGACAAACATTTTGAGGACCGGTTGCTCCGGGATATTCAATTTATTCAATTCCTTATACTTACATTCCATTATATTCCTTAAATCTAGCAGTTGCATTTCATTGAGGGTCGAGGCGTGCTTGCCATCCCAGGCTGCGGCCAGATGTGAGTGGTGTGCAATGATCCCACGACTGCTAGATGTTTGGTAGCCCCCTTACCAGATCAGAGACTCGTCAAGAATCTCGTGGTTCTGAGTAAGCATCAATGATTCTGTCTTTGATATTTGTTCGAGCGATATCCTTTCAGGAATCTAAGGCTATCATTGCAAGTTCCCTTTAAAGGTTCTCCACAAGGGTGCACGCGCACGGAGAGACAATATAATGATAATGGCTTTCAACCGCATTTGTGAAAGCTGCAGACAGCCATAAGAACACTGAACATATATGAACATATACTAGTGATCATGGGCATTCATGGACTACTTTTAGATTCTTGCCCTTTTCATGTGGTGATGCAATGATGCAGGTTTGTGTGTGATTACGAAGTCGTGCTGACTGTATAAACCAAAAACAGGTGGAAAGCTCAAAGGAAAGACTTTGTGCTTCACTGGTGCCCTGGCCATCAAGCGCTCCGTCGCTACCACGCTGGCGAAGAATCATGGGGCCAAGGTCACTGGGACTGTTTCGAAAAACACGGAACCTTGGCTACGCAAAAAGACTACCTGAATAATTGAACATCATTGAACTACTGCATATTAGCACAATGTGCTTGTCACACAGTCGTTTTGATTCCACGATCATGGTAGGATGTGATGAGTCCGACTTAGCAGACTGTTTGTTTTTTTCATTGGTTTCTATATTTCCGGTGTCGTTGTAGGTGTAGGAATCACGCGCACACACACACAAACATCCAATGAGGCACAATGCAAAAGGCTTGCTAGTGGAACAACATCTTGGTGCGAGTTATGTGATGTGAGAAAAGACACTGGAGTGGCACCTTCTTGTTGATACTTACTACAAAGCATGGTAGATCGGCAGGGAAACCAGAAAGCCTCTGCTTCAATATGAATGGGACAGTGTTCTGTGTTCTGTGTTCTGGTTGCAAGTATTGACATTTTAGATTTTAGATGGTGGATGGCACAGATTTGTTTCACTGGACGTGCGCTCCTTCCTAAGACTGATACATTTGTTTTACCGGTGCCTCTACAGTTGGTCCAAAGCAAGTGAAGGATAGTGAAGGTATCTGCGTTTAGACTCACGCTCAGAGGAGAACCTTTCTCAAACATTTGCCGTTAAGTCGTTATATGACTTTCAGTTCCTGATGTGCCATTGGGCTTTGTGCCCACAACAACTCACTAAGGACATTCTGGTGGTGGGCCAAGATGCTGGATCCAAGATGCTTGACTTGCAGATAGCGTGGTCAACAGTAGGCTTCAACGTTGATAAAGTTGCATGCGACGTGCATGGTGTTGTCATCCAGAAGACTTTTATTTGAGAGCTAGCTTTGCACCAAGCTCAGAAGACACAATACTAGGGTATATCCTGCGCTCTAGAGCTAATTTGCCAGAAGCAAAAGAAAACCATCTTTCCGTGTGCTGCAAACCTCCATGGAAGGATTGTATCATATTGTATCACTTGCAGACACATTCCACATAGTTCCTTGCACGGCCAGATCGTCGGAGGCCAGATCGTCGGGGGCATGGCTCAGCTAAGTGTCGGGGCCATTTTACAAATTTCAGAATTTGATTTATAGGGTGTATGTGGCTGTATGTGGCTGTATAAGTGTATAATGCACTATAATGCACTATAATGCATTATAATGCTGTATAGGCTGTATAGGTATATACTCGTTGCCATTTCGATACATTTTGTCTGAGGATCTTGAAGGGATCATCCTCAATCCAATACTGGGAGACCTGTCTTGGACTGCTGGAGGGGTCTGGGGAGGCCTTAACCTGGACTGCTTGGTCCAATTCTATCACTTGTTGTCAAAGGTGTAAGACCGCGTCGTTTATGGTAGCTGTTCACTCGGATCCAATTTATTGTGAATTTTGACAGCATGTTGAGGTAATAGAGACCAAACTCATTCATCACAATTGAGGATATGGAAGGATCTGCAACCATCATAGCTGATAGGCATTGTGAACTTTGGAAAGATGCCATAAGCAGCTCCTTCAGGCTGTCAGTGACTATTAATGATTTATACACTTAGAAATCTTACCAAAAGGGCTTCGAATATCTTCGAATATCTTAGTATCACCTAAGGATGAGAAGAAGTTCCTCAAGGTGGTCGGAATGAAATGAGGGATTCACAGTCAGCAAGGGTGCGTGAAGGGGACAAGGATCAAGAAAGCTGGCAGAGGAGAGCGGTTTTCAAGTGCGGACGGAAAGAAGCTGCTCGCGTCCGCAATCAATCGATTTATGTAGATACTGCATTTTTTCACTGCGACACTTGAGAATCGTAAGACGAGTGTAAAAAAGGGGGATGGCTTGTAGGAGTTCAGGCAAGAGTTGAGAGCATAAGAAATAGGTTACAGGTTGATCCTTTTTGGTGCTGTTTGTGTGATTATAGACAATGGGATCAAAAACACAGTGACCTTGTTTTTTCATTCAGAATGCTACCATGCCTTCTGCTGGGCGGTGTGGAGCTTTTCCGGAAGAATCGCAGAAAGGCATGCAGAAAGGGGTAGTTGTACGTGCTGGAATCTGGAATGGTCTCAATATGTTGCATGAATTGCATGAATATGTCATTACCTCCACAGCAGGTCAGAAGTGGTCTATGCAGTTCCCTTGCAAATGTCCAACTACGAGGCTGGTTTGGCAGAATCCATCAATTCACACATATTGTATATATATATATAAATATAGATACGCGGGAACTGTTTGTCTTGCCGCTTGTCATTTTTAATGTGGTCGTATTTGAAGTTTTTACATGTGGTTTGACGTTATTCTCAGCCATGAATGAGCTTGGCTGCGAACAAACTCCAGATCCCTTTCGTCATGAATACAAGTTCACACAGACGTATGTATATATGTACACACAGAGCTCTTATATCGGATATACATACACACCTGCGGCTCCTGTCTTGGTGGTTCATGCGTCTTATATGATTGGAGACAGAGAAGAGCTGGCTTATAATACAAACATGAATGAGTGAAAGATTGAAAGTCGATCAGACTTCAAGGCTAACTGGTATGTCTTTGTTTGCTTTTCAGATATCTGCTGTTTCTCTGTTTCGAGAGCCACCGTTTGACCTCAGGCGGCGCAGGATGCAGGCTGGGGGGGGAAAACTAAAACTAATTAAGCATGGCCGGTGAGGCAATCTGGGCCTAATTCTTGTGGTATGACAAGAAGAGCCTACAAATCAAGTTTTCTATTCGATTCTTTTTGGCAAGTTTCGGGTCTGGTGCTGCAACTTGCACATCGAGCTTTTTCCTCGCTCCGCTCACATGCAAGGCCTACTAGAATCAAACGAGCCACAGAGTCTTTGCAGAGTTCAGCATGACTCCCAGCACCGATTGAGCCAGGCAAGGCAATGAAGACAGCAGAGCCAAGGCAGATTTTGCGATGATGTGCGGACATCAACTCCACAATCTTAGCTATGGCCAGCTAACGTGCCCAATGCTGCCAAACACTTTAAGGGACTCAAGCAAAAAAGCTGGTCATGCCCTGTGGTGCGAGCGGGTGAGAGGCGGTAGAGGTTGTGGAGCCCGTTGCCAACGCGAATGGTCTCTTACACTAGCTTCCTGTCAATCGGTGCAGGTTGAAAAGGCACCGACATATGAACACAGTTAAAGGTTGTACATCCATTTATACAGCTCTAAGCACGTTGTATGTGTTTATTTTACCATGCTTTGGGCTTTGCTTGGAATACCGTCCAATCCCCCTCCAATGCCTTTGAACAAGATGAACAAGATGAACAAGATGCGTTTGAAAAAGATGCCTTTGTTATGCCTTTGTTTCTTGGATTGTCCCACAGTTGTTATGCCCCAGGCCTTGGGTGCCACCGCTGCAAAGTTTTCCATCACCAGAGATCCACGAGGAGAACCGACGTCAAAAAGCAGCTGTTGCAGAATCCATCAGAATCCATGGACAAACATGCAACATGTATACTATATATACTGTATATATATGCATAATTATGCATATAATATCATATAATTATGAATATATTGGACATGCTTCCCTATCTTCGCTACTGGTATCGCAGCGTATCACATTGTGCGGTTTTGAGACTTTTGGATACCCCTTTCGCGTACGAGGGAAAGCTGAAGATCAACATGGCAACATGAAGTTGTTTAATCTGCACTACTTCCGAAGGATGTCAAAACCTGTATGCCTGGGGTTGAGGTAATTGACCGAAAGACATGCAAGACATGAACATAGACAAACGTTTGAGTCCGAAGAACTGACAAAGCCCCAACAAGGGTGAAACCGTGAACTTATCCAAACCAAAACGGAAATCAATGAGGAAAGCTTCTTAGAAAGATGTCAATAAAGTCTGTGACACCCAGTCAAAGTCTTTACAGCAGTGGCAGAGGCAGATGTACATTAACTCTAGTAGCGCACCATTGAGAACAAATTGTGTCCTCTGCATCTAGAGACGTGAGCAACTAGGTGACGAGGTGATGCTTCACGGCCTCAAGAACAAACCGGAACAAACCAAAACACAAGGGCCAAGGCTGACTTGTTGGGCCACTTTGAGCACCGTATATATGTATATATATAGTATACACGTATAGATTTAGCACTTTCACCTTTCTTTGTGTTTTTTGCAAGGAGGTTGTGATGCTGAAACTTATTGCCGGGATCAAGCCGATTTGCTTTGTACATGAGCCTCCTCTATGTACATTTACATACGGTGAATCCGTAGGCATAGTATAGCTCCTATGTTTGCAACATGCTAGACTGCACATGCTTTGAAAGCAGTGCTTTTGTTGTCTTGTGGTATTTGAAGCCTTACGGTCACGCTGTGCCAAGCACTTGTCAATTACAGAGATGAAAGGGCTTACAAGGGGTCGCGCAAGACTGTTTGAGATATTTTGAGGATGAGCGGAATGCAACTCGAACACTGTCGGGGTACATGACCCACCAAAGAGCCTGGAAAACTCAGTCAACTCGAGTTCTCGCACGTTGAATTTGCAGCAAGGAACTGACCAGTTGGTTGCATCTGTATGTCACGAAAGATTTGGAGCTTGAGCTTGAAATTTACAGGTCCTGGTGAGTCGGCCCTCCCCAGGCTAGATCATGTTGGTTCGTGATGGCGTTTGTTTGTCAATAGCTCTCACATTTTTTTTGGGAACACCCCTTTCTCAAGCTTGCATCTCCAGGTCTCCAATCTGTGCTCACCTAGTGTCCACTACCTTCAAATTTCAGCTTAGACTCGAGCAACGGGAACTCACAATTGAACAAAGGATGGACGGTGTGAAAACCAGCAGAAAATAAAATTTGAAGATTCAGATGGGGCTGTCAATCTGCAACGTTTCCAACGCTGAAGAGTATCGAGCAATATGAAGCATGGTATGAAGAAGTATGAAGAAGTACGGAAAAAAACACACGATTTCAGGTCACAGACGACTTTGTGAAGAAAGACTTTCAGCCCAGCCAGGTTGGGGAGCACAGTTTTTTTCCCCCCCTGATGCATTTGATGCCGACTGTTGCAGACGTGTATAGGTTCAAAGACCATTTCTCTCGTGGAGAGTTCTGGCTAGTCTGGTTGAGGGCTAGGCACTGTCCATGATAGACTTTAGGAGCTGCGAACGTGTAGATCCAAAAATGCGTTTGAGATGAGAAGCAAGACACCTCTAAAGACCCGTTCCTTTAGAAGTTAGAAGCTCAGATGTTTCTTGGAGCTTTATGAATTCAGCATTGGTTTTGAGTACCGTATAGCCAAAACTGTGGTGTTGTCAAATAGGCATACTGTGTGTCTTATGAACTCTTATGCATTCTATGATATTCTATGACTCATCTTACTGTAGGAGGGTCCACGGATGTCCCACGGCAGGTGCTTTTAGCGAACAACAGCTGGCAATCTTGTTCCGCGACTACCGATGCGGCTGCAGAGGAACTTCTGGGGCAATTCAAATGACGGAATCCGACGGAATCCGACGGAATCCGACGGAACTGCAAAAGTTTTCAGTTTTTTGTGCAACTCCCATGTCAGGTCTCGAAGTGTTCGAGGGAGTATAGACTCTAAGTGAATTCCGTATAGATTGTGAGTGGAAAAAGCATGACATATATTTTGGAAATCGACTTGGAGATCCTTAAATCGTGATTTCTTTGAGAAGAATTGGTTTCAGGCAGTTGGCAGTCAAGTGTCCTCCTCACCCACAGCGTTGGCAGCGCAAGTTGTCACTGTTGTGTCTTTGGCTGCAGCAGGTGCTTTTCCATGCGATCAGGATGTGATTCGACCGAAAGTTTCTATGATCTCCTTGCTGCCACAAATCATTTCAGTATGATGCCATGCTATTGGGGTATGGGTGAAAGCCTGAGGGACCTTTCAGGAATCGTTTTACAATGCTGCTTTCGTCGATTTCGAGACATTCGTAAACATGTTTGAACAAATAATCCTTCTGGCAGTCCTTTCTTCAGCTTCATCGGCTAACTTTAGTTTGTCTAGCGGTCGGTTTGGCAAGTATACAGCTGGTTCAGAGTGAAGGGAGGCTTCCTATCAATTGCATTCAAACCAAAGCAATCATGGACATTCTTGTGAAAAGCAGGGTTCCTAGTGACTAGTGGTGCCAAACTTAATTGATTCTAGGGTGTCAGTGTGTGTAATGAATATTTTCGCATGTGGCAACACAGTATTTTTCTTTATTTTTCTGTTTAACCTGCAGAAACATTTCGCAACTGACGAATTGGAAACCTATCCATCAGCCAAGGCCAGCAACACGACCTTGGCCTCGGATGTGCGAGAGCTCACCGAGGTATGTTCCCCGATTTTTTCCTTACCGGTTTTAAGCTGACGTCCTCCGTGAAACATTTCGAAACCGAGACTTCAGAATTCAATAGAGTTCATATTTTCAAAACTCTTTCAAGATCTTTCAAGAAATCAGCCTGAAAAAAGCAATGTATGCAGCATCAGTGCAGCGATTCGCACAGGGCAACATTTCACATTGATATTATGGTAGAATGCATGATACCATGCTTGATTGAAATAGAATCTGGGCAGTGACAAACCACTGGTTTTGCCTTTGATTGGCCTACTTTTTTGATCTTTTTTGCACAAAAACTGCTCTCCCGATGTACACTTTATCTCTTGAGATCTAAGACTCCAGAAGACTCCAGAAGGACGTTAGAATCGTTAGAAGACAGCACGTTGGAACAGAAACTCTTGGGATCTCTTGGGCACAGGTGGAGACTTGGTCCATTGGCGATGCTAGGAGGTCGGCGAAAACGGCGGAAACGGATTTGATTCAGCTGCAGCTTGGTTCCAGTTTCAGACACTTGGATACACTTCGAGAAGAGTCAGATGAGTCAGCTATGTTTGAAGTTGTGTGTCAACTGTGTCAACTGCTCATTGACAAGGTGTCAAAAATCAAGTCACACATGTTTTAGCACCGCAGTGTCATGGAATCATGGAAGACATTTTGTTACCCTGGGATTCGACAGATCTCAGCTTGTTGGACTCACGATGCTTGACGCAGCCTTGGCGAAAAGCAAGCATCAGAAGTGCATCAAATGCCGTTGGCATTTTCAGAGTAGACACTACGTATGTACATCTATAATATTCTATAATCATCTATATACATAGAATTACATCGATCCACACACCACCGGCCAAAGACGAGCAGACTCTGCAGGATGCCAGTTGTTGATGCTCCCCGAGTCAACTTTGACACAAGGGTGGAACTGCTCAGTTGGTAAAGATGTAAGGGCAAGAGCCAAGGGTCCAGGTGTAAGCAGGAGCAGAGGGGCCATCTCCAAAGACTTCACAGAAGTGCAAAAACCGGGTCATAAGTCATGAGTCATAGTCGTAGTGAGTCATAGCATTTAAAGTTTTCATGAGAGCCTTTTGAATACTTATCCAACTTGCTGGGTTTTCGAACCAACGCAATTCCACCCTGTTTCTGGACACCCTCTTTCTGCCTCAAGATTGGGTCCTTCAAGTGAATTCAAGCAATGACCCTGCAAAACAGAAAATAGCAGGCGCCTACGTCCTGTGTTCCAGCATTGCATGTTGACTGACGAAGAGTTGCTGAGATCTGATTGTTTCTGCTTGTTTGGAGTGACAGTTTAAAACGAAGCATTTGAAGATATCAACCATGAGGTGCAGACTGCATCGTGCGGATCCCAGCGAGAGCTCTACTTAACGTATCCTAAACGAAAACTAATGTCGACCCTCAATCTAGATTTTCAAGGCCTTCCATAAATAAATTAAGTAACGACACCGTTCGAATTTGTTAAACTATGATGAGCGTCAATAGCCCTGGAAGTGCTTCCTTGCTTCGCGCTTTCATTGGGCGAGCCAAATGCGATGGGCTTTGTACAGGCAAAATGCAACTTTCCGTGGGGAACCTTTGAGACTTGCCACTTTTCTGACAAAGTGCCTGTTTAAAGCCGTTGGATCAAAGGCTTTGCAGCACGTCAAGTAATAAGTACTGAGGGCATACAGGACATTGTAAGGTCGGTAACTTGCTGGACTTAGAATTACCACACACCATCCTTTTCCTGGGAGTCCCTCTCACGAGGGAGGCAATCTTTGGTACTGCTTCGCGAAGAGAAGAGTGCTTAGAACCGGGGCGCAGATTAGTTCATGACAGGTTTCAGTAATTGCAAGCCTTCAGACACCAGAAATATCCAGAAAGGGTCCAGCATTTGAAGGAAAGGACCCTGAAGGATGAGAGCAGCCCTCGCTCCCATTCGCAGTGCTTTCCATCGATGCAGAGGTACGCAAACCAGTACAGTCTAGAGATGTCTAGAGATGTCTAGAGTCTCTACGTATCATTTTGACTGCAATAATACTTGAGAGTTTGCTGAACGTTGGAAGTCACACCTTCGATCCTGCCATTTTGGTAGCTCTACTTTTGCACAAGTGATGAGACCTATGATATACGCTAGAGCTGTTGGGGTATCAGCAAAAGATTAGCAGAATGGCATCGCCGCTGTTGTGAAAGGCATGTGGCCTGCACCACTTCAATTCATTGTGATGGTGTGTGTGTTTCCCAGTTCTGTTTGAGGCATAAGCTTCAAGAGTGCTGCAGAACTGCGGAGAGCTTGTCGGTCAAACACCTGGACAGGGCCAACCGCAGGGGAGGCGCCTGGTTATGTCCCTTGGACTAGTTCATGATGGTGACGGGAAACCAGAGCCACAAGGGACTCGGAAGGAAAGACCACAGCAGAAATCAGGCTGAAATGAAGAGAAACACAGAGAGAATGATGAGAATGTGACACAGAGAGAGAGAGAGAGAGATGAGAAAGCAAGACTTTTTTCAATGCCGCGATACATTGACAGATTTGACAGTGTGGCTGCCAAACTCCCAGGAGAACGGAAAGTGACGAAAAGAGAACGAAAACACCAAACTTATCCAATTTATCCAGAATTCGAGTTAGTTTTGGATGACTTGGATGAGGTGCAATTTGAGGATTCTTGGACTGCCAAAGACTTCGCACATCCTACAAAAAGAAGGTGTAGATTTACTCGTTATCATTTGCTCCTGTCATCTCCTGTCATTATTGCTATTACTTTTAAGTGTCTTATTAAAACCACGGACAACGGCCAAAAACCATTCTACTGTAAGACTCACAATGACCCACAAACTTCCTTCCTAGAACTGTGCTTGAATGCTACAAGGTCCAGGCCAATTTGGTCATCCTCCCAGGCAAGTATGCGGAACAGTTTAGAGACTTTTGCAACTGGGCTCGCATGAGGGGCAGAGTCAGAGACATAAGGAACTGTTGCCAGGATGCCTGATCAAGATTGATCAAGAAGTTTTGATGTCCGAACATCATCTAGTACTTTTGGCATTTAACGTTCTTGTCTGTCCGTGATAAGATTGCAAACACATCCGTGTTTTGTAATTAAATTTAAATGAATTGAGACTCAGTCCTGTAACCTTGTCTCCTTTTGAGCAAATTCGATTGGTGCTGGCAATTCATTTCAACTCGAAACCGGATCAGCTGCATCCACGAGCTTTTTTCGAGGTGTCAAAAATGCAGCGCCGTGCCCCCTCTTGGAGCACACTGGCCCTGGCTCCTTCGAACCTAAACACCTCGCACCCGGTGCAGATCTTCGCAGGGGCCCTAGCGTGTCTCAAAGAGGACTCAGAAGGAAAAGAAGGACAGGATTCAAATGGATTCCATATCCGAAGGATCTTTGGAAAGTCCCGCAGTGCTTCACAGCGGAGTTCCAAATTCGTTGTTGTCCTGCTATCGAAGTGTTTCGGAACTCAAGTGACGTCTTTCACTTTGGCTCCCCCCACATCTATTTTAGTTAGTTTTCCAGATCATTCTGGTAGCTACTTTAAAGTACGTGTACACATGCGGGTTGAGCCTCAATCCACACCTCGCTGCGCAGGATCTTGCAAAAGATCCCTGTAGCAGTCAATTTGATGGGCAAGACAAGGGAGAGCGGTCTCCAATTTTAAATTTATAGAAGAATCTTACGCAAAGGGCCGCAAAGAACCCCTGAAATAAAACAACGGATTCTGATCTTCGTTGGATACGTTTCTGTTTGAGTCAGCAGGTAGAGTTATGAGATCCAACAGTTTTGGCATGTCTTCAATTCTTAGCATCTCAACTCTCCCGTTTGTCCTTGCGGTGGAGGCACAGACTTGCCCAAGTATCATGTCTGGAGAGAAGGCACAGTGGGTCCGGGACAATTACAACTGCAGCTTTTCACTTGCTGTACTTGATTGATTTTGATTGTACTTGCGTGGTTTCCATAGTGGCATGCTACTCCAAATGAATCATGGAGCAGAAGAGAAGCACAAGTTCTATGCATCTTGTTTGTGCTGCATGTGTTTCTTCCCAGTCATACTGTTCATTTTATGAGAACCAGAGTAACCAGAGTCCCGTATTGTTGTAGTTGATGGAAGAAAAGTTTTCAAAGCACAATTCCAGATCCGTGACCTGGCTTTTGTCACATCTTGTCACATCTTGTTACAGGCAAAATGGTGGAGGAAAGACAGGAAGTCCTGGGCCTTTGTGAAGATGATATGAAACATGTCTCAAATTTGCTATGCTGGCCGTCGTTGGGAAACGACAGCCGCAACATGCTGTGGCAACAGTCCCAATGAGATTCTCCAATGAACATAATGAACAATCCTGCTGTCGTTAGAAGATGAGGCACGGCTTTCTTCTCGGATGCTCATTCACGTGGGAAGATCTCCTAGCAGAGGCTTATTTGACCCCTCGCCATGTTGAGGCGCAGACGCCTTGTTTCAGCAGACACAATTATTGACATGCAATTCAATTCAATGCAATCTCAGGCTCTTGCATTGGCAGTGTTGCGGTCTAGTTGCGGTCCTTCGCTGTACATGTGAGCGAATTTTAACCTATCAAATTGGTGCAATTCGCCCAGGAAGGTCGGAATGTGCCAATGTTCGACTCATCAATCGAATTGAGGAGTGCGGGTCCTTTTCAAGGCCTGGAGTATGAATGTAAAGGTATATATATGTAAAGGTGCTGCAGTCTACTGGAGTTTGTCAGGCATTTTTGACTATGTTGACCTACGACCAAGTTATGGACTAGCCTTAGCCTTGCGCACAAATGAGTACAAAAACACTATTTTTGAGAAACAACCAGGGAAGGACGGGTTAAGTATGTTTGAGAAACGGAAATTGCCTCTCATGTCTTCAATTGGACCAGTGTAGGCCACATGGTCGTGTCGATGCGGCCATACCGCAAAGAAGATGCCGAGAAGGTTTGTGCGATAACAGGGGAATTTCCAGCTGCCCATGGTACCTCGGCATTCGGCATTGCTGTCAACACATTTTTTGAGCTTAACTGCCTCAAGGATTGGACGTAGCTCCACCGGAACCAGTATCCCCAAGGCTTTGCATGACTTGAAACTTGACATCTTCGGGTGTATTTGAGGACATTTGCGGAGACACTTGCGGATGTTCCTGATAATTACTCGTACTTTGGAAACCTCCGGCGCTTTTTGCATTTCTTTGCCTCATCTCACGTCGAAGTTTGATGCTTCTCTTGATGTCCTTTTGAAAGTGCACTTCTTTGTTTGTTTAACTTTTGGCGAGTCTGAGGCCCACCAGTGCAAATCGGTCAACCAGCCGAGATTGGTGTGAAGGACAGTTGTGGAAGGTTGAGCCGGCATGTACCAGGACCAAGATTGTTGGGGATCCCCCCAATGCTCCAAAGGCGATGCGAGCATATTGGAGTTATTACAGCATATTACAGCTACTTCCGTGTACTTGAAAGCCATTCTGCCTTCTGCGCTACCACTTGATGCTGTGTAGTGAAGTGTACTCTCCCAAATGTGAGCCTGCCACCGGAAGTAGGTAGAGTCTTCACTAACATAAATCATATCTTTAATATATATATTATAGAATATCTTTGTGTATCTTTGAGATGTTCGGAAATGAATCCAAATATTCTTTGCATCCCAGTAGTTGCCAACAATCAGACATGAGAGCGACGTCATACAGAGTTGCAAGCTGATAAGTGATAAGTTTGTGCAGCGTTGACTCCATACCAGACCTGAGGACCTTATGAGACCAGACTACGGAGAGGCAGTTTCATTCAAAGATGCATGGCCGCGTCCAGAAACTCAAGGGAGTATGAAATTGCCACCGCAGCGCCCGGCATATTTTGTCAAGAGTGGTGGTGGTGGTGGTGGTGGTGGTTGTTGTTGTTGTTGTTGCTGCTGCTGCTGCTGCCCAGAATGTCGCCCGCTTGCTCTCTTGTCATCCTGCGACCATCTGACGACACAGCTTTTCTTCTCATTCTTGTAGCGACCTAAAATCATAAAATAGGTGGTGTTTTCACGTTTTTTTGAAACCATTGGAGCAAAAATGCGGTAAATACAGATGTTTGTGGCGCCTTGGAAGCCAAACAACGGTATTTACGACGTGTTTTGCGATTGGTAGCAAAAACCACGGTGGTTTTTAGACGGCGCCTAGCAGAAACACTGGTATTTACGCAGTTCTCAGCATGTTGCAAGAAGCCTTTTTTGTAAGCAAAAGTTGCAAAAACACTTCCAGTGTTTTGGGCGTTGGCAGGCACCAAAAAACAGCAACCAATGACAACAAAACTGTCCAAAACGGACCTTCCAAACCCTTGTTGGCGGCAGACCTAATTTTTAGTCGATTTTTTTTTTTTGACGCCCAAAAGAACGTCAAAACCCCATCAGAGTGAAGGATTTTTTTGGGGAGGTCCGGATCAGACGGCGAGCATCGCCCGACCATAAGATTGCTGCCGCCCCGTGCCGCCGACCCCTCCAAAAGGCCGGTGTCTTTGGCCTGTGGCTGGTGGTGCCTAATGCCGCTTTCTGAAGGGACAAGAAACTAGCTCTAAATTGCAGGTTTCAGGCTTCCAAGAGCTGGTCTCGTCACACCGAAAGAGCATGCCAGTGAAGGCCGGACCATGCCTTTTTGCCTGTGACTGCTAGTATGTCACGTCGGTTTCTGAACCAACAAGAAATTAGCTCCAGCTTGCAGGCTGCAGGCCTCAGGCCTCCAAGATGCTGGTGCGTTTCCTTGCTTGTTTTTTTCTTGCTGCTTGTGTTCTTCTTCCATGTCTTGGCCATTCATCTACTTCTCTGTCTTGCCTCTTGCTTTTTGTTCTTCTTTTTGCGCTTGCAGATTGCTTTCTTCTTCCATGTCTTCGACATTCGTCTACTTCTTGCCTCTTGCTTCTCTTTCTGGCTTTCTAGCTTCTTGTTCCATCTCTTGTCCCCTCTTCTCTGACGCGGCCCCTTGCTGTCGGCAGGGGTCGGCGGATTTTCACCTGCTTAACAATGATGAAAACACAAATCCGCGTTTTTACACCGCGCACTGAAACTGTATGATGCTATTCGTTCTCGTTCCAATCGCATCGCTTCCAGAAGATTCGGCAGAGTTGACCGAATAAGTTCGCAGTATCGGCATCGTGGATAACTCCCATGTGCAGCATATACAGCATCAATCGTGATCGCGCTGCATATGATACCAACACACAAAAAAAAACATGTTTCTTGCCTCCGTCGTTTATATATATATACACTGTAACTGTACAGTCAGTGGATTTTCTCCATTTCAACCTCTAGGAAGACGACAGAACTTTTCCTTCAAGGTGAATGGTGATTGAAAACGTTATTACTGTAGTAGACGTGCACTGTAGTAAACGTATTTCCTTCAAGGACCAGGAGGAATCAAGACGGGTCGTTCAACGAATTTTATTTGGGACCCAAATTCGTTGAACGACCCGTCTTGATTCCTCCTGGTCCTGTTATCACTGAGGATGGGGAGGTCCCTCTGTTCTGGGCTTGTGGTGTCACACCACAAAATGCATTGAAGCAGGCGAAACTGCCTTTAGTGCCTTGGCGTTGACAACCTTTCTTGACCTATCAGTGCTGCAATCATATCATATGTACTGTAATAAGGGACAATTATTTGAGTCTTCAAAAATGTTCAATCTACCATTGGTGCCATGACTTGGGGATCCATTTTGAATATTTGGAACATATGTTGCAGCAAGAGATGTCATCTGAATTTGCCTGATGGAAAGTCCCACATATATCAGCCAAATAGGTTACAACAACGAAAACATGTTTCACCCATTGTTTGTTGCCCCACTATTTTCCACATTAAGTTTATTCATTTAGTATACCAGGGCTTCAGGAATCTCAAAAACCTTCCATCAACATTTTCCCTCACATGAAGACCTTGGCCAGACAGTGAACTTTGAAAGCAGGCTTAAAATCTGGGTTTTCCTTGCCGATTCTTGGGAAATGAACGCACTTTCTCTGAGGGAAGGCTGTTGCTTCACACTGCTGGGCTCCCGTTTGATACCCTTATAAGGTGGGGGTTGAATAGCTGAAGAAAACTCGAAGGACTCATGGATTACCCCCAAAACAAAGCGTACCTTGGTTGTGGATAAAGAATGGGATAAACGGGTTTGCAGTGAGGTTTACTCGTATTGAAGGTCTACATCGGACAGGCTAACACAAGCCAGCACACACTTGTCTCGCCTCACCACGTGCCTCACGAACGACTCACGACATGCCTTTCGTTTCTGATATCATACGGAGAACGGCCTTGAGAGCTGCAAAGTCTGTATCGCTTTTAGATGGGCGGCCCTCTACACACCATTTTGGTTCTCCTTGAAGATCCTTGAAGTATGCAGAATGCGAGCTGCTTATATAACCTTATAATATCTTATAATTAATATCTTATAATATCTTACAATATCTTATAATATCTTATAATATCTTACATACTTGTTTAGAATTCCAGGAATTGGGAGATCTGAGCCCAAGCAAGATTGTTTCCACATGCTCTGGTGTTTTGAAAGGTACCAGGGTTGCCAGTAAAAGCAAGGAAGTAAGGTCAGTTTGCGGGCTCGTGCACTTAGGTGATCACCCATGCACCTGGTCACATGTTCGTTGGCGACATTCGCAACGATGAGCTCAAAGATTGGCAAGTACCTGGTGTGTGGTCTGCACGCCCCACGCAAGTGGAGTGAGGACAGCAGGTTGTTGGCACACTCATGAACACAACAACTGTAGAGGCTATGTGTTTACGGTATGGATACTGATGTATCTGTGAATGAGTTTGCATTCGTGTACATCAGCTTCGCAAACTTTTGAACAACCCTCAAAAAGATACATTTCTTCTTCAGCAGGGTTGAAGAGTATATAGTATATATGTCTTGCACTTGCTGACATTTGCGACAAGGAAGGCACTTCCAATTTCAACTTGCAAAAGGATTGGGAAGCATCTGAAAACATCTAGAGACATAGGACCCAAGCCAAAAAAACACATAAAAACACATGATTGAATTAAGATAGGACAGGAGTGTTCTTGTCCAAAATTATTCTTCGACAACTTTCCCTTACCTGCCCACAGAACGGTGATGATTCATTGACTTTGTCAAAGCATTTGAACGATTGCAAAATGTTGTGCCAGGCCCTCTGCACGAGCCTCTGCGCGTTACCCTTGGTTCCGCCTCGTTTCACACAGGGGCCCAAAGGTCATTGGTTAGTGACTGAAGTTCGACAGCAGCGCTGGAAAAATTGTCTCTGAAATTCGATTGCGCAATGAACGAGGATTGGAGTTTTCAGGAGCAGCCCAGTCCTGTGTCTGACATTCCACCCTTCAAGCATGAGAAGATTACAGGGCCTTACACCGGGGAGATCCTGTGTCCCTAGAGTACAGTAGCAGCTTGCTGCTTTTGACCAGTTTGTGCAGAACAGGAAAGAACCACCATGGACAGAAATTCACCGAATTCGTGACTCCTCACGATCTTTGATACTCTGAACACAAACATCATGACACTGAAGCTGCTGCTGCGAGAAGGTTTCCTCCCTGTCCAGACCAGAGTATGTTGCATTCACAGTGATTCAGTATGGAGTCTTGCGATGTTTTGCATATCTTGTAGGCAAGTGGTGTATGCTCGTGACTCTGTAACAGTGTAATTTGTCGTGCCAGAATTGAGGCCTTGCACATCAATCCCGAAAGAAGGGTCATGTCAGGCAAGGGATAGTGCCGAATCGCTTTGACAAGAAAACCATGCTGAAGTATACTTGGTTTCAATGCACACGGCATCCTTTGGTCTTTCGGCGGTGCATGTCGGCAGGCTTAGGTTACAAACATGGCAAACAAGGTTAAGACATTTTGTGAGGACATGGTTGATTAAATTTCAAGGCTTTGAACCTACACGATGCTAAGCAAACGGTAAGCAATAAGCTGATCGAACTCGAACATGGTATTCTTTGCATTTCTTTGCATTTTTTTGCATTTCTTTGCATTTCTTTGCGTTCCTCACAAGTGGGAGCTTCCTGTGCTCTTTGACCTTAAGTATCCTTGAATCAGCCAGTTGTCATTCCCACATTGCTTGAGGTGCAGAGCTTCTCGCCGCCCGGACAGCTCAGAGACGTGTTCTTCTTGTAGTTGTCACAGATGTCACAGTATGTCAAAGTTGTCGGCCTGGTCTGGTTGTTGGTGCTGAGACTTGCTTGGGGAATGCGCAGCACACCTCACTCCAGACAATCGCTGGAGTCAATAAAATCTGTTCCACAAAATGTACAGTGCCCCAGCTTATGCAGAAGCCAATTTGAATCACAAGGCTTTCAAAGGATCATTGAATTCCACGATGCAAGTGGCTATGTCACCATGGCCTGCTTGACTCTTTTGCTTCAAACCAGGTCAGCGGACAAAGTCTCCAGCGGTGAGGCAGTGCAAGTTGGCCAAGAACTCAGTGAAGAGACCGCAGGCATTAGAATGAAGACCTTGCCACGGAATTGAACGGGGGCCCGAAAAAGAACTTCTCAAAGTCAGCTTCACACATGTGGCAGCTGCGGTCTGCATAAAGACACAGCAGATCATAGCAGGAAACATTGAAAACCAGATCGTGCTTTGGTGTACTGGACAGTCGGAATGTGTCGAGGTAGTGAGAGTCCACATCTGCAGTAAGTTGAAGGGAACTTTCATCGTAGGCTCCAAGCCAAGGTGGCCAACATACATGCAAGACCTCAGAGTTGCATCTATGTTGCATCTTTGTTTAATTTTTTTTTGAATGTTTGTTTGCTTTCCTTGATGGTATACGGACAAGAAAGTCAGTATACATGGTGCTCCTGTTGAATCTATAGATCATAGATCTGGATTTATCCTCTTCAGCATTCCTTGAAGTGGAAGGAAGGGTGACATAGTATAGATCATCGATCAAACTATAAATATAGAAGGGTCTGCCGTATGACTGAAGCCACAAATAAAGGGAAAGTAAACAAACAGTTTGCAAGCTTGGTGCGAATCTCTCAGCACTTGGCATCTTGTGCATCACGGTCTGAGGCACTGGGGTCATCAAGCCTTGTACTCGAGTGCCAACTCGTATAAAGTCCCGCCTCCCCAGTTGCTGTGCGGGCAGGTCAAGATGGTGCAGCCTGGAAGCCAACCCACTTGCCCTGTGAACAAACCATTGGCAATGACAATCCCCAGTATGTTTTTCCGCGGAAAAACCCTTGCGTCTTTTGATGCTCGTATGTGTGCTTGGGTGTAACTATAGAGAAACACAATTACAGGGCATAATATAGCATATATGATACTTAGAAGCAAGCGATTCTGTGCATGTGAGTATGTCATTTACTGCAACAGTGTATAAAGGCCATAGCTTAGTCATTGAAGATCATTGAAGGGTCCACGCTTCAAAACACAGAGAAAGTATTGAAGCACGCCATTTTCAGTTTTCCAGACTTTGCACCAGCTTTGCGTCGTCATTGCATCGGTTTTGACTTTGGCTTTTCAATTCGTTTTTTAGTTTTTTGTTTCCCCGTCCTTTTCCATTCAAACCGATTCTAAGCGCTCTCACGGACGTCGTTCCACTCGATCCCCCTAAGATCGGTGCCAGCCGAAGCCACTGAGCCGCTCCAGGCCGTGCCGCCAGGAAGATTCAAGCGTTTGTTTCAGATCAGATTTGTTTCGAAGTCAGATCAGAATAGATCAGATTTCAATATTCTTCTATTGTTTTCCCTGTTTTCCTGTGACTTCATAGATTCTTACAGATCTTACAGCACTTAAGAATACTTAAATCAGATATATAAACAGATATATGTAGTACATAATTGTACATATATATATATATATGATATATACATACACGATCTGCTGTCTACTATGTACACATTTTTACACGCATGCCAGAAAAGGATTCTTGAGCCACGTTCTAAACCCTTGTGACCTTGTGTTCGTGTTAAGCAAGTGGCCCCTTATAAGGGTGTGCCGTAAGCAAAACTGTGGTGCACGTAAGCTAGCGTAAGCTCCGCGTAAGAAAAGATATGCGCGCAAGCAAAACCTGTGCGCGCGTAAGCAAAACGTAAGCAATGGCGTAAGCATTTCCTTATTTGGTGCCAGGATGTAAGACATTTAGAACATGACTCACTTGACTCAGGCTAAGCTGTATGAGATACTTGGTCACTGAGTCATTTTGTCCACAAGACAGGTACAGTAAGTTTTCTTTAATTTAAGAAGGATGAAACTAAGGTCACCAGTAGCAAGCATAATGGAGTCCACACGCTTGCGTGTAAGATTGCTGCAATCTGAGCAGACTATGCCGTATATTCCTATCATTTTCCTATCATTTCTATTCATTTTTATTCATTTCTATTCATTTCTATGTTTCTATCATTGCTATATATTGCTATTTACCCCAGTCTCGTTTGCTGTTGCTCAAGTTACTCAAGTTGCTCGGCCAGTTCGTTGGTACGTGTCAAGTCCAGCTCCCCATGGCAGAGCCCATTGTGAAGGCAGTGTGACATGAGATCAATGGATGTGTTCAGTGAACATGTTTTTGTTTCAGCATTTTTCGGTTGTTTAGGCATGTTTAGGCTATTCTCAAATTTCAATGCCGAAACCAGTTTCGACAAATCCTTCTTGCTGACGAGGTGTTTCCATTGTAGTGAGGGGTAGTATGAGATGGTTGGACCCGCGCATTTGATATCTTTCAGTTTCTTTCAGACTTCAAAGGAAAACAACGCAGCACTTTGGTGTACCTTTGTATCGAATGATTCAGCAGCCACACCCATACACAGGTCGACCATGGCCCTGTGGTTCAACAAGCTCCGCAGGTCGCACAAATTGTCATTCAGACAGGAACAAGTTGCTGTATTACAAGTTTTGAATCTGTTTTGAATGTGCTGTGGATATGTCTTGAATATGTTTTGGATATGTTGCGCATGGGTATTTGTGTGATTGGCTTACGCTCTCAACTAAATAGATGGTAACACAATGTAACACATACCTTTTTATTGTAAGGGGGTTTTGACCCTGGGTCACCGTTTGGTTTTGACACCAGGCCCCACATGTGCTCTCAACTAGATAGATGGTGTATGTATATACATGGTGTTCAAAGTGTTCAAAGTGTAGTTGAAAGATGCACTTGCTTATATACTGTCATTCAATCAAGATAATTCCCCAAGACAGAGTTGGGAGTGCGTCTCGTGCCGTAAGCAGCCAAACCTACTGTACCATGTTTTCTTTTGGTTTCACTGTTGCACAACAGTGGTTCTTGAACACATGACTTGGTCGCAAGCGACCAAAAATGTCACATAGTCTCATGTCATTTGCTTACAAGGCCCAAAAGTGGCGGCAGACAGAAAAACGTCGGATGGTCGACAACTCTCAAGTCGTGCCTGCACATGTGTCCGGTCAAAACCATGCTCATGTCATTTGCTCAATGTATGGTGAACAAAAATGAAAATCCTCATTTCTCCCCTGTCATCTGACCCGAATACAAGGGCCTTGACCATGTGGTCCACTGCCACTGCCAGGAACATGCAAGACATGAGATCAAAGCTTGCTTTCAGGCTCATGAAAGTGTGCAGCAGCCTATTCTATTCCCCAGAAACCACAACTTTTGTTAGAAGCGCGTTTGTTTGTTTTTTGTTACTACCAGAAACTTGACATAACTTGACTTTCTGTCAGGTTCTGTCTCCGCTGATCTCCGCAGTTTGCACTTGTCTTAGGACTTTTTTATGTCACAGGCCTGCCACGAGGCGGCCGAGGGGCAATCTGGGCAATCTGGGCAATCATTTGAGGACGGAAGTCTTCGTTTTTCTGAAGCGGGCGGACATCGGACAAAAAGAGAATTATCAGATATAAAGATATACATATATATATATATATATGTATATATATATATGTAATTATATATATATATATGTATATGTATATATATATATACAAAGAATCAAAAAAGCCTTGGCCAGTGACTTCAAAATACACCCGAGGCAAGACGTACGAAGAGCAAGTAGGTCCTCAAGGCGGCCCCAAAAAGAAGGATGGAAACCAAGATATGCGTGGGAATGCAAGCAGAGAACATCTTGTGAGTATTTGGCCATTTGGCAGTAAACTGGAGCTTGGGATTCACTTGGCGAAACCATAGGGATTAATATGGATTAATTAAGATTTTGACTTATTGGTGCAATTATTACGGGAATATATTAAGCCAGTTAGAAGAAATCATGAAGGTGAGAAAGTGAAGTGAGAACTTGGCTGTGGCAGCGCAACGGAGCTCCAGGAGTTTTGTCCGCAATGTGGGAACTCCTATTTGCCTGATGCAGCAGGGATGCTCAATCTGGTTCTTCCAAAGGAATAGTTAGCTGAGGTGACTTCAACGTAATTCCTGCTTTTGAACTAGGAAATGCCACGGAAGCGCACAAGTCGATTCTAGTGACTAGTGGGATTTCTTGGACATACTGCCAGTACTTTCCATTTGAAAAGAATTAGACTGCATTTGTGTACTGTTTCAGCCGAAGGACAGGCAATAAAGACAAGACGGCGCCCCATTTGTTCACTGAGGCCTTCTGTCGGCATTGTGGCAGAAAGAGAGACTGCGCCAGCTCCCAAGCAGAGAAATCTTCCTCATCTTGAAGTACTTTTGGTGTTGAAGGTTGAAGCTTTTTTGCACGACCTGCATCATAGTGCCCTGAAGGTTTCTTAGTCAGTGGCAGTTTCTGCAATTTTCTCAACTTAGATTTGAATGATTTGGTTCCTCGGCAATCCAGGCAATCCAAGACAAAGCAGACATGTCAATATGCGAGGTTTGAGGAGGTGGTTTAAAGATGTTTGAACGTGACCCTTCAAAGATATCCTGCTATATATATATTATACAATTATAATATATCATATCTCCTATTGCAAGTCTCAGGTGGCCATCTCTGCCCAGGCTCTCAGTCATTCGATTCGTACATGAAAGTTCGATATCACTTTGACATCCTTCAAATATCTTCAATTCATCAAACCTATTTCCGAATATTTCCGAAACTTCCTGCGATTGGCTATCATTGGCTATCATGCCACTGCATCTTGATGTTTCTCTTGGGACATAATGTACTGATGGATATGCCGTGAAGTCTCTGGCCTTAACCCCAGCCTGGGAATGTTGTTCGAACATGTTCGAACAGTGTTGTCGTCCTGTAAATTAGATGGGCAGTATCATTCAGTATGATATAGTATGATCATGTTTTTCATTGTTTTTCCATACTCTTCCATGCTTTTCCTATCTGTCTTTGTGGCTTTGTGGCACAAAGCATCAAACAGCTATTCAGGCGCCTGTGGCAAGACCTCGTGGTAGCTCATTGAAGGCATTGGGTTGTGCACTCGAGAGAGATGGCTTGGCAGCACTTTTTTCGGTCACCTCGTAGTCACTTATATAGTAGGCTTACAGTAGGCATCCAGCCCACCTTCGCATTTCATGTATTTCCGATTCACACTGGCTTGCTACATTCAGAGCGTACTCACTGCGTCCTGCAGCCGTCTCAAGACAATGGTCACGAAGATTCAATAACGATTCGACAAAGATAGTTTCACAATGTTTCACATGTGTATGTGGCCAGGCGGCCGTGCTTCAGCCCACTCAAGTGGAGGTGCCTGAATTGTGACAGCCGGTCCCGCTTGTATGTGCTGTTGGTGTTCGGTGGAAGATTCTTCCGCCATGAGTGCTGTTCCCTGATCAAAGTAAAGGCTTTGCTGATATATTCAATCCTTTGTTGCTTCTATTGTGCTTCAAGCTAGGAGTCGAAGCACGAGCATTCTCATCGATCTGTGCTGTGAAAGATTTTTTTTGTAGTTTTAGACGTTTTGTTTTTTGTTGTGAACCTGATCAACATGCCAAAAGTCCACACTTTATCGGCAGCGGAAGGCTCCAAGAGTCACTCCTTCGCCTCCAAGAGCGTTATCACCACCTCCATCCAGGCAGTATCGGTCAATATCGTTCAATTTTGTTGTTCACTGTCATCTTTCAATTTTGTTCTCAAATATCGGCCAATCATCGGGCTCACTGTGCCATGGTGCAGCCCATTTTGGTTTGTTGAGGTCGCCGGTTTTTGCCTGGCCGCAGACGCACTTGCAGGGTGCCCAGTCTGCTTCGTCAATGCGTGCTATGTTTTCTTCCTGTTCTTGCTCGTGTTTTTCCTTGGTTCTCCCGGTTCTCCCTTTCTATATGTTTCCCTACCATCCGCTTATGTCCGCTTCGGCCTTTCAGACACAGAGGGATCAGTGATGAAAACCGATCCTCACACTGAAATCTATTTGAACTTATTTGAACCGATAGATATGAAATGACATGATATGATATGGTCTCTTATCATATGTTTTGACATGGTATGTTATGACATGGTATGGCATGATATGGTATGGTATGATACGATGGGACTAGCGAATCCATTCAGACCCGTTTGATTGTTTGTCTGGACTTGGTGGCACTTCAGGTTAAATTTACATTAAAACATATGTTTTTGGCAGCATCGAGACTCCTCACCAAACACTGACAGCTCGCTTCCATATGTTCAATCTACAAATATGCATCATATAAGCAGTCTCAGTAGATGATGGTTTTGAGATGTTTTGAGACTGTATTCTCGTGTCTTGTGTTTCTTCTTGTTCAGATATTGACTGCCCAAGGCAGCCACTGTCCCAAATGCTCTCGCCGGTTGGAACCTGAAAAGATCACTTCGAAGGTGGGGAAGACAACAGTTTAACGCACCCTGATGATCAAGGACTCTAGAAGTGGACATCAAGATACCCTCTACAATGAAGCTACAATCAAGATGCTGTACTTTGAAGTAATTCGAAGGGTAACATAGTAAAATGCATGCGAGCAGGAAGAGCCCAGAGAGCTCTTTTGAACATTTTGTTCATGGGCTTGGATCTTGCCGCAAAATTCCATTGGATCTCCCCAGGAAACAACACTTGCGAAAGGAGATACTGTGATCAGCAGAGCATCCGCGTGGCCTTTATGACAAGAGCTATTTGAGGCTCTAGCCAGCCAAAAAATTGGTTGATGACAAGGTCAGAAAGGACCTAACATGGTGAAGTGCGACTTTGCCGGTAAACTCTTGTGAGCAGTATTCAACACCCCTGCTGGTTGATGATTATAGGGGGTTGGCAGCTATACTACCCAATATGTTGGGGATTATCATAATCTAGTACGGGACTAGCCATGTTCACCACTTCAGCCAACTTCACGGCGGAAATTCTTGGAGAATTATCCAACCATCAAAAAAGGATTGAGTCAACAGTTGCTGTGATGGATTTTCTGTGCCTATTTGTTCATGTTTTCGCCCATTTACCTCTATGCATGGGTCTATCCATCGTGTCATGTCTCGATAAATCTATCCAGTTGATTGCCTCATTGTATCCGTTTGTTTTTCTATCTCTGTGACTATTCAAGTCCCATTTTTCAACCAAGTTCTCAGCACCTCCTGAGACGTCTGAAGAGGTTCAGCCCTGTCTCTCCTGAAACTGTTTGACATTTGATTTCTTGGTCAGAGGATGCATATATCATGCAGCTCTTGTACACAGGCTCAAACGCAACCACCACGTCCACTGAGGCTATGTATGCAAGTTCATAGAAGTGGACAAAAAGCCAGGTGAATGGAGATCTGTTCCTTGACCCGTTGAAGACATGGGACAGGCAGACCAAGAGTCGCAGTCACGGCCAGGTCTGTTGATGTATAGTTGAGAGATGTTGAGAGATGTTGAGAGATGTTGAGAGTCTCAGAGTATGTTGAAACCGGAAGACATGTCTGTGAGGTTGAGCAGTTCTGGCAAAGCCAGATGGATCTGATGAGTTGATGAAATCTGATGTCTTTTTTCTTTGTGTGTTTTGCGTGTGTTATGTTTGCCTGGAACATCCCAAAGCCTTTCGCAACTCAGGCCTGCGAACGTTGCGCAGAACTCCTGAAGGCACCACCTTGCAAGGCTTGCGGACAACCAGTGCGAGACGCGCAAAAGAACGATCCACATCCGCACCTTGGACTTCAGATATCTGCCATATCTGCATTTACGTTTCAGATATTTTCAGATTCTGTGCAGTATTTGCTGCCGAACAGTTTTGACGGGTTTGACTCGGTTTGACTATCTTGATTTAAGCTCAATCAGCTTCGCACTGAAACTGACACTGATCAAAATAGATTGGAACAGCACTGATGTCATGTGTCTTAGAGCGTCTCAGTCTCCCAGTTACTGTAATTAGCCAGTATGCAGACTCTGGACTCTTGCCAAGTCATGCCTCCAGGGCCAGTTCGTTCCCTCCCAAATTTCGTTTATATTGATTGCGTTGTCAGGTATCATGAGGAGTGCAGGCGTTGTAGTTCCTGCAACCAAAAGGTCTCGCGGCAGGCGGTCTCGGAAAGCATGAGAAAGAGACATTTGTCATTAGATTTCAGACACTATTCTGGACTTATAATATAGATTTTTCCAGAGACGCTTTGCCTTGCAAGCCTGGATGCCGGCTGCTTGACGCGTAACTTGAAAATCTCGTCTTAGTTTGCCTGGACTGTATCTTTACATGACATCATGATCAGAACGCACACACACACACGACAATATGACGACCAAGCATGGCCCTTCCAACTTGGAACTTCTTGGCTGCATCATGGCAGGGTATGCACTTCACTGCTGGAAAGATCCTTTGTAGTTCCTGCGATGACCTCTTTGGAGAGTTCTTTGCACCTGGAAAGCGAAGCGGCAGTGAGTACATGCAAGAGGCCTTCAAGGCCCGGTTGCAGTCATAGGCATGGATAGTGGATTGATCATGATCGATCACTATGCATCATTTTGCCTGATCATACAGTTCTATTGTTGCTTCCGATTTAAGCACTAGGATGATGAGAAGGAGAGACCCTATAGAATCAGCCGAGACCAAAGCCAGTCTAGAGAGATCGCACGGCCAGCACAATGAAAGGATGAACATGATGTGGGTCCTAGAGTGGATGATGGGAGCACGTGTGCAGTGGTAGAAGCCAAGAAGGCAAGTTCAGTGGAACTCGAAATTCAACAATTTATATAATCAAGAAGAAACGGGGAGGATATGACCCAGATATGACATGATATGACAGAAAAGCTTCGAAATGTTTGACGCCACAGCCATACCGATGTCTCGTCTTACCCTTGGCTGAGGCGTGGGATGAAGACAAATCAGGCTTCATTGACACTGGTGAGTTGCGGCTGGTGCTCAAGGCATGACTAGCCGCTTGCTGACCTGCAAAGAGTTTTGCAAGAGCAATCAATGAATATAGCTTCGTCACAGAGTATGACAATATAACAATATATCACAAATAATGAATCCCACGATATTCTATAGCCGACTATAGCCTATAATAATATTATAATATATTTACATTGATGTATACTTTTTGAATGCTAATGTATATCAAGTGAAGTATCTTGAATTGTACTAAAGTATTTGTACAGGTACCATCCCCTCGCAATCCAGAGAGAGAGAGAGAGAGAGTCAGACGCCAATTTTCCAGTATTGTTCACGATCCCCTCAAGTAAACCGCGGACGCTTGCACCACTAGGCATAGAATAGATTCATCTAAAGAGGAAGCAGCTTGCAATGTGCAGGACTCTTTCCAGAAGGGGGTAACTATTTGATCCGTTTTCAGGGAAAATCATTACTGGGACAGAGGAATGTAAGCTTGATTGACGGATACGTGATACACACCCGCCACTGACAAGGAAAGTCACATTGCTTAAGTGGATGGTCCATCTGGTCTTGGACTCACTTTATGTTGCCTTCCAGATTTGAGAGAAGTCATGAGAAGTCGATATTCAGTTTTGAGAGTGATCGCCCTGCTGCCAGGCTATCATGCCAAACTTTTCAGACCGAGACCTGAACGATTTGCTTCGTGTCATAGACACAAATGGCAACGGTGTGGTGGAGTATGAAGAGTTGCTTGGTGATCCTGGTGAGACAGTTGTAGACACATGCCCAGTCACAAGAAACACCTGGCAGAAGAACTTGAGCTCGTTGACCTATCGATACCATCGTCTTTGATACACAACGACAAGAGTTTGCTACAGCAACCCTTAACATTTTCACAACAAGGTCAGAGCCATAGGTATCAACAACCTGCACGCTGCAATGCTCAACCGGAGCATTTGGAACAAAGCGAGGGTTGCTCTGGCCGTACAAACGATCATACTCTCCTGCATCGCTCAGGTTTTGCCAGTGGCTGACAAAAGAAAACCCATTGGAGTTCTCACAGACGACTTTCTCTCACTATGTGGCGCAACTCATGCGAGAAGCTGGAAAGGCGAGAGAAAAAGCAGATCTTTGTGTTGATGAAATCCAAGTAAGAGCCCTGGCTTGCCAGGATGAAAGGACATTTCCCACTTTTGGAGAGATTTATGTTTGGTCCGATCTATGCAGTTTTCTGGGCCTTGACAATGACATGGTTGGGTCCTGCACAGCCACAGTTTCCATGTGGGGTATTTGAAATGGTATTTCATCCTGCGGCTTGGACGCCCAAAGCCAGTAAGCGGCATTAAGCAGCAACATCCATGTCAATTCACATCCCATGATGATCATGTTTTATCATGATGATGATGATCAATGACAACCAAGGAGAAGATGGTGTATACTTCCGTTTGAGGAGTGGGACTGTTCGGCTGGAGACCACAGCATTTCGAAATGAATCTGGCTTGTCCTTGACAGCGCTAGATCCCGAAGAGTTCATCAGCCGCTGGACATCTCAAACCATCTCAAGCCACACGATCTTTGTAGCATGAAATATGTCTAGAATCTAGAAGTTATATGAAGTTATCATGTACAGTAATTGTTGATGCATGTTGGTGTAATTTTGTCGGGCTTCACATGTGTACACATTTGGATTAAAGACCGTCAGCCTGCTTGACCGTGTATTCTTACCTTTTCCCTTTGTGGGTCATCACAGAAGTCGATTGGCAAGGAATCTGTTGACCTACACTACCCTCACCTTTGCGTCTTTATCAAGACACGCTAGATTTGGAACATGCTGGACACACGGAGTTGCAGCAGTTCTGTTTGTGGTCTGCGAGTCGAGGCAAAGTGGAATGCGTGGAAGATGGTCTACACATCAGCTTCAACACTGGGCGAGTAATCACACTCGATGGGAAAGGTGAACTCTTCGGTCCATTTGAAGCGCCCAAGGGATTTTACATCGATGGCTTGCGGACAAAGCCCGTGGACAAAGGAAATGTCAAGGTCACTTGCCGTGCGTCACACGTCAGAGACACACCAAAGACATACCAAAGACATGGCTACAGATGGCGACGACTTCATTTCTGTAATATCATTGTTTTCTACATCTGCTTCAACGCACTTCATGGGGAGGTTCGAAGGTGTAATGTGTAATGTGTGTAATTGAATGCAATTGAGTTCCAATGGTGTTTGGTGAATGGCTCTAGATTCACAGCTGGTGTCCTGTTGCCAGGACTACGTGGCTGGTATTGAAGCAGCACCGTTGCCTTCAGCATCTGAATACGATTGTCCTTGTGCCTTGCTGTATACTGCCGAGCAGGACTTTGCAACTTCACATTTCGTTTGCATGCGTGAGACTCATTTCTATAGTTTTGACATGTTTTGACTGACTTCAGACTGACTTCTGATTTATGTTTGAAAATAGGGTGCCTCCAGTTCCAATGGCCATCTTGGGGGTATCCTGACAAGTATCCCCCATTTTGAGCGCACAAACCCATGTATCCCAGGTCCTGCAAAAAGCCTCTCTAGGCTCCAGCAATCAAATGTGAATCTTTGGAGCATGGAAATTTGGCATCTGGCCACCCATCGCTACTCAGATTCCTCAGGCCACTCTTCCAAGATGAAACTTCTTAGAGGTTCTTGAACTCCAAAGGGAAGCCCTACAGGGGTGATCTCAGCCAATTCCAAGACAAGCCAAGGCTCTTTACAGACAGATCAGAAAATAGCCATGCTGTGTTGCTCCTCCAGGAGTATTTGCGCTCGCTTCGCGAAATCTTAGCAAAGGCCGCAGTTGACGTAAATGGCTTCGGATATGGAGGAGCTGCGTGATCTGACAAAAGATCTTTGCAGGAACAGAAACGATGCAAAGCTAATTACAATGAAACTGTCCTCTTGTTTACGGTGGAATGGATGGTAGAGAGTGCAAAAGTCGGCTTTCAGAGAGGGAGAGAGAGAGAGAGATAGATAGATAGATAGATAGAAAGAAAGTGAGAGATAGATAGAAAGTGAGGGATACATGATGATACTCGTATATGTTGATACAATTTAATATACGTGATATAATAGACAGGTGTTGATTGATTCAGAGGGAGTGAACTGAGTCGTATGTTTTGCTTTACAGCAAGTGGCGGAAGGAGCAAGTTTAAATTTGCCAATAGATTTGCTCAGAGCAGTATAGATATCAGTTTTGCCTCTTGATTTGTCAGCTTTTCTTGTCACGGGATTTGGGAATCCCAGTACCTTTTCAGAACATTATTTTCAATCTGACGACAGGCGAGATCGTCCTGGTACAAATGCACACATTCTTGATACCCTGCAATTGTTCTTCGAGAAGCTCTGCATTTTTTTCCGGCTTCGTTAACGCATGTTGCTGCTAGCCTTCGGTCGAAGTCGGCTTAGAACTCAAATGAGATTATCTTGCTCTCGGCAAGATTTCAAACCCATCCTTTGACCTCTGTCAAGACTGCTCACCTTGGTCAATCGTCATTAGGATTTCTTGATTTCAAAGAAATGTTATCTTAATAATTCTTAATACTTTGTTATTCCATCCTTTCATTCTGGTCCTAGCAGCGCCATCCCCCTCCCAACATCCTTAGCAGTCCTTTCATTTATTCGTTCGGTATACTTAGTCCGTATAACTTGTGTTTGATATGCCTTCTTGAGTCTTTGTATGTGTTTTTGGTTGTTCAGGAGCCACTGCTTTGATGCTAGCAGCGTCGAGGGGTTGCACTGGCTCAATGCGTTTCTCGGCTCGTGACATGAGAGGTGGAAGTGGTGGAAGTCATGGCGAACGCAGTTGTTAACATGAAAACAAAAAACACGAAAGCAGCATGGCTTCACTTGGGATGACCACGGATGCTGTATGATGCTGTGGATGTATCATCCTAGTTGGAGAAGGCAACCATGATGTAAGATTGTTCAATTGTTCACCTGTGTCCTTGACCATGCCTTTCCAAAGCTATTCATGTAATCACTGATGCGGTTTGCTGTACCATCTTGTCCTTGCCGAACGCTTCGGTAATTTGTTTGAGTCTTTGAGTTTGCTGCCGGTATCTGCAGTACTTGCATCATCTTGCATCTCCAATCTCATTTTGCAGGTCTTCTGCTGAGCTCTAAAGCCAATGTCAACCTTGCTGATTCCGATGGTTGGACAGCTCTGACCTATGCCAGTCGCTGTGGTTCACCGGAGGCTGTGCAAGCCTTGCTAGTGTGCTTTGGCGGAAATTTGCTGGTTAGGTGTGTGAAAGATCTTTGCCCCAAGCAAGACAAAGGGGCATGAAGGTGCATGAAGGCCAACAAAAGTCCAAACCGGGATTTGAAATGGAGAAATTGATTACACTTGTCATCTTCTTTTTGCGAGTTTTTTCAAACCAAGGAAAGGTGCAAAGGAAGGAGAAGGTGACGGAGGCCGAGCCCTCAAGGAGCGTGCGCTTTGCGATCATCATTTTTGTTTCTTCCCTTTTTCGATCAGTTTTGGTTCCATTCCTTACCGTCCAGCTTCCTTCATCATCCTTCTTTCGTCTCTTGGCTGCGCTTGCCTTTCCATGGTCGCTCTTCTCATTCCATTCAATTCTTACATCTTTAAGCTTATGCATAGTTTATGCTTGTTTTTGGACCCTTGGATTGGATGCTTTAGGCATCTCCTGGCCTCTTTTTGGACGTTCTGGGTTCTTGGAGCTCAATTCTTAATATCCGTAGATTTGGTCTGCCATGCCGTAGTTGCCACGCTGTGTTTCAGGAGGCACTTCGGAAGAGCCACAACAGTGCTGCCCGTGCACTCTTGCGGGCGGGATTTGGCCCAGCACCGGTGGGCACCTTTGCGCTTGAAGGGCAGCCAAAGCCCGAGGACGGTTCCCCACACTTTGACATGTAACATTGACGTGATATAAATGAAATGGAGATGGAAATTTGGGAAATGGAACATCCGGAAGAAATACATTCAGTGCTTTAGCAAATCATGCATCATCCATCCGGCTTCAGAAGAACTTGGAATTTATATTCACCAGCAGCGCAAGACTGCTGAGGGAATTGTCTGCAAATATCCTATCAGCGGTTTGAAATCCAGAAGTGTTTGCCGTGGTGAAGTTGTGCAGTCCAGGTTTTGTAGTGCTGGGAGTTTTGGCACACAAATTTTATTCCACTATATTTATATTCCACTATATTTCACTTATGGTTGCCTGATGCTCTACCTCACTTTGGACCTTTCAAGCATGTGCTTGTGCGGCAACCGAACGCCCTTGCTTCGCTGCTTCGGTTGCTTGTCCTTGCTTGTCCCTGCACTTTGGGAGGACTGCAAGTTGGAGGCACCAGCGATATCGCCCAGTGGGGGGGCATTCTCACAAGCCAAGCCCAAAGCTTAGTTCTGCAAATCGCTTTCATTTGCTTGATGACAACCTCATATGTCCTCGTAGCCGACCTTGTTTTCACGGCTTTCGAAGTACTCTCCAGGCTTACATGATTTTGATGATTTTGATGATCGTGGATTCCCATTCAAGCTCGATGATTTGGATTTGCACTCCTTCCATCTCCTTCCCCTTTTGCTCTGTTTGACCTCTGGACTATCATGCGACGTCCTTGGCCAGAAATTGAATTAAAATTGCCGCCACAACCTGTTCAGGTATCAAGATAATCAAGAGTGTCATGCTTGAGCATGCGCTGTGGAAAAATAACTATCGTAGAACTTTGTCAAGCAGAGACCCAAAGTGACAACAGCAACTAAATACACCAGTCTTGATTCTCCAAGGCAGATCTGCCTTCTGGTGGGCGGCAACGATGCTGCAAAGCTTCCACAAAACATGAAGGCTCCCTGGTGGCTGCTGTAAAAGCATAACTGGAGATATGACACACATGAACATGTTAGATATGTCATGTCAGTATTTCTCTCGTCCACGTGGGCATTCTCAACTGATCCTTTCACGTAGACACACTATCCCGTCGCACTCCCCATGAGAGAAAACATGGAGTGCTGAAGCCAGGTATCTATGTACAAAGTACTTTAGATATCGATAGATGGCATAACATCGTTACAGTATCCTACTGTGTTTCTCTTTTGTTTCGACGATTGCGATTTCAATTTCTTTTGGATTCTTTCGACATGACCCAGAAAGAACCATCCGGGCTCTTCACATGTTTCAGTACAGGTTCTTTACACATTGGATGGTCGTGATCCCTTCCTGGCTGGTCAGCGCTCCTTGTCGAGATGATGCAAGAAGTACCCATGCGGGTGTATCAGATTGCATCCACTGGGGATGACTTTTCTCCATTTTTCTCCCCTAAAGGTCTTTTCAGATCTTTTCAGGATAATTGTCGATGGATTCGATGGATTGTGAATGGATTGCGATTTGGAGCCATTTGGAGCCATGGGAGCCGAGGATACATTGGGCCTTTCACCATCTCGAATTCGCGGGTCCAAATTCGAGCAGTGGCAGTCCAAGCGCAAAAGCGATCCCCAGCTGTGGAGGCAACGTTCCTTATTTGTCATACGGCTTTGCCAGACCCTTGGTACATTTTGGCACAGCTCATGTAGGGAAGTGGACTCGTGCGATCTTGCGCGCATTCTTGTGCTTTTCCACAATGTATTTATAAAATACAGACACAATAAAACATTCATTCATACGATATATGTCGATATATAATATGATAATAATGATATACAGTATATATATATAATACATATTATATACACATCACATATTGCATATTGATATACAATATACTATCGAAGGAAGTTTGGAAGTCAAACCTCCGACAATATGGAGAGATGAAAAAGCAGTCAGCAGGGAGAAGAGTCAGAGGAGAAAAGATCAGAAGAAAGAAGATGCAGGTGCGCGAAAAGGTAGGAAAGTTGCGATTCACTGTTTTTTCGTGGTTTTGTGGCTCCGGAGGGTCGAAAAGTAGGCTCGCTAAAGCGGCGGGTGCGGAGGCACTTTTTGGAGTTGCGATGTCGAAAAAGTGCACGCCGTTGTGGCGCGAAGCACATTTTGAAGTCAAAATGTACAAAGCACACCATGCTCGGACCACTTTTGGAAGTTGACTTTAGAAAAGTGCACGCCGTTGTGGCGCGAAGCACATTTCCAAGTCAAAATGTACAAAGCACACCAGGGTTCGGACCACTTTTGGAAGTTGAGTTGTCGAAACAGTGCACGCCGTTGTGGCGCGAAGCACATTTCGAAGTCAAAATGTACAAAACACACCCTGCTCGGACCACTTTTCGAAGTTGAGATGTCGAAAAACTGCACGCCGTTGTGGCGCGAAGCATATTTCGAAGTCAAAATGTACAAAGCACACCAGGGTTCGGACCACTTTTGGAAGTTGAGTTTGCGAAAAAGTGCACGCCGTTGTGGCGCGAAGCACATTTCCAAGTGAACATGCACAAGGCACACCATGCTCGGACCACTTTTGGATGTTGAGATGCCTTCACTACACTACACTACACTACACTACACTACACTACATTACCGTGTTAAGCTAGATAGCTAGGTAGCTAGATAGCTAGATAGCTAGATAGCTAGATAGATGGATAGATGGATAGATGGATAGATGGATAAATAGATAGATAGATAGATAGATAGATAGATAGATAGACAGACATACACTAAATTACACTACACTACACTACACTGCATTACAGAACACTACATTCCACTACACTACACTACATTACACTACATTATACTACCTTCCACTATACTTCACTACATTACACTGACTACACTCCACTAGACCACAACTATAACTACAACCACACAACTACACAACTACACCCCACTACATTCCAATACACTAAATTACACTCCACTACACTTCACCAAATATGGACAGATAATAAGGAAAGCAGGGCAGAGGCAGAGAGGAGAGAAAGATTAGACGAGAGAAGAACATGGTGATGGATACCTGTGGACATGGATGAAGAGATGGACGGAAAAAAAACTAACAGAGAGAAGTAAGTGGATGGATGCATGGCTGGATAGACAGAAAGATGGAGAGTTTAATAGTTAGGTGAATAAACAAATCGAACGATAGCTACATGAATAGACAGGTAGATAGGTAGATGGCTAGAAAGGTAACTCTGTAGATAGATGGCGAAAGAGAGAGACAGAGAGAAAGAGAGAAAGAGAGACAGAAAGGGAGAAACGCTCAACCACCTTTCAATCCATCAGTGGGTTCGCTCTGCCATTTTTGCGCCACAGCAACGCACCTCTCCTACAGGTTTTTCATTTTTGAAACTTCCGCCACCGCCTTGTGCGGTACTACTGGTATACGGATATACACATTATATATAATATATATATATTGATATACATATATTACATAATAGGATATAGTATAACATGATATATTATGATATAATATAATGTAATGTAATATAATATGATATGATATAATATATCGATGTATATATTCGCAGGGTCAAATCTCCCGATTTTTTTCAAAGATGTGTATCATCCACACATTTTTTGGTGAAGAACTGGTTCTACCTGGACACCAATTCTTGATCTGCGTCACTCAGGATGAAATCGTTTTCGGAACTTTGCGGGCGCAGTAGCTTGACCTGCACTTGAAAGCTCTGACTCGATTGACGACAAAACATTTGCGTGTGCTGCGGTTTTCCAAGAATCTTTCTGCCAGGACACATTCTCAACGGATGCCTTTGTTGAGAGAGGAAGGGGTCTTATTGGAAGGTAGTCCGTAAAGATATTTATTTGTCCTATTATAGCCCCTCAGTTTATACTCTTGATTTTCCCAACATGCTCCGATCTATTTCTAATGTTTGATTCATTTCTAGGAGCATGCAGTCCAATTCGGACTTTCCTCTCAGATCCCCAATTCCAACTACGTGTATACGACATGCAATGTTTCAATCCATGCTTTTTTATTCCCATTTTTGTGCACATTCAAGCCCAATGCCCGTGCCCGGCACAGTGCCCCCTACGATGCAACTTGCAGGTTGCACATGTTCAATCTCGATTTCAGTTTTCTTTTGGCTGCAAGTATATATATATTATTTAAGCGCACCTTATCAATCTTCGCAGTTGCTTATTTTGTTTACCTTTAGACTATTCTAGCATGTTTATTGTACACTTCATTTGTTTGTTCATTTATTATTTATTGTTTCATTCGCTCATTTTCTCATTTGTGTATGTCGCTTTGTTTTACGTAGTTGTTTGTTTATTCTCAAATTGTCTATTGATTGATTTATTCAGTGGCTGTCTATTTGTCTTGTACTCATTTGTTGATTTAGTCTTATGATTCCTGCATTTATTTTGTTTGTTTATTATCTTTTGGAATCCACTTGCATAAATTTGCTTTATGCCCTCAATTATTCACACAATCCTTTACTCATCTGTCTTATCTGTGTACCCAGTGCTGTTTATCTATCTGTTTAGGTGTCTGCATTTCATTTATTTGTTTCTAACTGTTGTAGTTATTTTTTTCCCATATAGTTTTGTACTATCTTGGCAATGTCTTTCCTTTTGCCCAGTATGTCAGACCCCTCGTCTGTGGCTCCAGAATTGCGCAAAGGCTTTTTCCTGCATCGATGGACTTCATGCTGAAATTTACAGCGGAGGCATTGAATTTGCCCGTGGAGAGGCTGCAAGCAAGGATGACAGACACTTGGTTTCCACATGTTTCTACTGTCACATACTCTCACTATGTGTACCTAGTGGAGTATAGACAGCATAGTATAGCATAGTAATGGTCTTGAATTTTGATTCGCTCTTACGATCTGTTGATTGACTTGTCATTTGTTTTCCTTTCAGGAATGGCCTCGTAGCAGAGGTGGCTTAAACTGGCTTAAACCCCTGCAGATGTTTTGTGTACGACGTATCCACCTTCCCAAAGGAAGCTGATGGTGCCAGCACAAAACGATGGATCCAAGTTGATCTGAATGACTTGAAGCCGAGACACCAGATACGTTGCTTGGACAAGAAATGAAATTGAAGCGTTTATGAAATTGAATAATTGAACATGATTGAATAATTGAATAATGTCTTCAGTATCTTCAGGCCTCTCTGCACCCTTGATATGATATGCTTGTAGTTGCAGATGTTCCTTGTCCTCTTGACCGTTTCATGTTATGCTTTTTCATTGACATCCGCCTTTTGCCAGGGTATCTGAGCACAGAAAGGAAGTGGTGTGAATTCCAGTTTTGGGGAAGAAATGAGGGATCGACACAGAATGAGATGTCCCAAAATGGACACTCACAAATGTTCCTTGTTTCATTCCGTTTCAGGATTCATGAACTTGATATTAGACTCAATCACAGATTCAAACAAATCAACAATCAAGGGAGTACTTCGTAAAGTTGACAGGTTGCCCGCATCCCACCGCTTCTTGCTATCCAAAGATTTGGAAGAGGGCATCGAAAGAGAATAGACACTCCACCAATGAGTGGCAATTCGTAAGATTGAGAGTGGAGGAAGGGAACAGCTAGAATTCCGAGAGATAAGACAAAGCGATAGGAACCGCACAAAAGGGTGTGATGTCCCATGATCTTGCTGGACGCAACGATTTGATGAAGGCACAGCACAAGCTGAAGCGATGCCACAATCCACACAGCCAGTTTTGTTGTAAATTCGTCACACACCACTGAAGAGACTCTGAAAAAACCTGCCAAGCCAAAGAGCAAGTCCAGAATTAAAGTGAAGAATAGGAAGAAGAAGAAGAAGACGAAGAAGAAGAAGAAGAAGAAGAAGGAGAAGAAGAAGAAGAAGAAGAGGAGACAAGACGAGAAAAGGAGGAAACACAAAAAGAGGAGTAGAGGAAGGACAAGAACAAGTCGAATGGTGAGGAGGAAGGGGGTGGATAAGAGAAGGAAACATGCGCGCTGAAGGAAACCACAAGACATAAGCACAAGAAACAGAATGAGACAGGCCTGCACCCTTGACAGAATCATTCGTTCGGGAATTGTAGCAATGTCGAAACCACTCAGCCATTAATACATACTGATTTCGCATGCGCCAAGTCAAATACTCGGCTCCATTCTTCTGAGTTCGACTCAGGGGCTAGTAATCCAAAGTATCCAAAGTGATTTTAACATGGAAGATGAAGGAAACCGACACTGGCAGGCCTTTCCTCAGAAGCATGGATATAATTCTATCGTGAAGATATGTACTATACTGAAGATCAAAGAATGAACCTTCATAGTTATTGCCAGTTATTGCATTTTAACACTGAATGTTCTGCAAGGTACAGGTTGTAGCTCACAATTTTGATTCTCAGTAGACGGAAATCAGATTACTGGTGACATCCATCGACCGTGCTGTCGGATCTGTTGGTAAGGCTTTGACCTTGCTTATGCCACGGTGAAGTCGGCAGACAAAAGGAAGAAGTGGATTGAATCCATCAAAAGCGATGCTTGGATGCATTCTACGACCTGCCACCTACATGCATGCTACGATGCCTCAACATGCTTCAACATTCTTCAAATGTCATTTTCTTTTGATCTATTTGGTGACGATGATTTGGGCTCCATGTTTACCACTATGTCAAATTGTTGTTGCGCAAAGCTTTGGCATCCTTTTCCATTATATAATACAACTATGAGCACTCTCCGAATCACACAAGACAGCAAACTGGCAATCATGGAATGTGGCATGGTAGTATGAGAAAGACCTCCCTAATTTCCGCCCATGCATACTATCCTGCGACATCGACTTGCTTTGTCTGGTCGGCACACTGAAGTGTAGGTCAGAATTTTGGGTGCCCAGTGCCACAGCATTTCCGAACCGACTCTGCAGTACGACAGGATATCTCCAAAGCTGTTGGTGAAGAGCCAGCGGATTGCAAGGCTGGGATAGGTAGGTTTTGGTAGTGTGGCAATTCAGGAGATGGTCACGGAGGTTTAGCCATGACAAAAGGAAGAATATGGAAGAATACTTGAATACTGTATGCAATTTGGGTTCCGGTTTGCGGGTTTGGTCTATGTACTTTGACCCACAGGCAGGCATGCAAGTACACTTGCCAACTGCTAAGCCTTCTGCACATCAACTGCATTAACCTGTGTTTGCGAGGTGTTTGCTGGGTCCATCATTTTGGAGTTTCAGATGAGCCGAGAAAAGGCCGATGAGTTGGTGAAGCATTTGCAAGATCCAAACAGCTGGCTTTTGACCAAAGGCCTGGCCTGGGACAATATGTGATGTTATCACGATTGCAATTTCACACGGTTTTTGAGACTGTTTGAACGGACTTTGTCCGTTTCCAAAAGAAAAACATCAGAATATCCAAGGTGTCATTCATCGCTTTCTTGGTTGTTGATCTTGTTGCAAGTAGAGTCTAGTATAGTATTGACTTTCAGAAGATTCCTAGATTTTTTCAAGTCCACATTTCCATCGCAAACCATGAATCACTTTTTTCTCCCTGATTTGCAAGCTTGAATATGCATGAATACGCTGGAAGATCGTGGAAGATACAGAACTGCAACGCAACTTGAGCCATTAAAAATACCATGCTTGATTGGTTACTATAGGGACTTTACTTTTACTGCCTAGTTTACTGGGGATTGTGATAACCCATAGTAGGAAAATCGGAAAACCTATCAACCAACTACTGTAATGAGAGAGTAGGCTATGTTCAATGGCTCACTTGGAGAAGTCCTTTGGCAATTGATGTTTCATTTTCTTCATTGAGTCACTCAGCAGCTTGACAAATGCAGGCAAACATCGGAAGGCTTTCAAGACTGCCTCGCTTCAGGCAGTCTCATTCTCTGAACCTATGCTGTGGAAGATAGACGGTTTTTATCGTTTTTTCTCATCACGCTATCAAGTGATAGGCGGCCATTTATCAGCCGTCGAATCAAGGAACACTGTAGATGGTTGTACATACTTCCGCCCATAGAATTCTCGGCTGTGGCAATCATGGCTCTGCGTATTGTCTTGATATCTCAATGCTTCACTGTTTGGTGGTGCGATGCTCACACGGGAGCGACATGATGGTTCGATATTCTCCACATGCCTATGTGCTGCGCATTCACACTGCATTCTCCTGTCTTTTGATTGCAAAATCAATTTTCAAAACACCCATCAGGTCGTAGAAGCTTTGGGAGCTCGCTTGACCACCATCGCCTTCCGAGATGAGGTAGAGAAGGGTATCAAGCAACTTGGTAAGAACCAGCTGAGTATCTTTATTTGTTGTCAACTGCTAGAATTGGCAAACGGCATATGATTGTATAGGATTCACTCTATACACACTGCTACGATACATATGCTTGCTCAACATTTTTGTAGCACTGTTGAAGGGGACACAGAACCAAAATCTTCAGTATCTCACGTGCTCATGCTGCCTTATGTTGCTGATTGCAGAGCAGAGCATGTTTGTTCCAATTCCGTTTCCAGGAGCAAACAACGCTGCCGCGTTGTCGCCATTGGCAAGGGCGACAAGGGTGCAGTCGCTACGTTGGTGGCGGACAAGAAGGAAGCAAAATGGCATCTTAGCTCTTGGATTTGAGAGACTTCTTTGAACCAAATGCTTTGACATTGAAGGAAATGCTGGCGGGGCAAAGGTGAATAACATCCTCTCGATTTTCAATTGCTTGGCGTTGTCTTTGTCATCAATCAGCGAGAATTGTCGTGCTGCGTTTGCACAACACAATTTTGTCCCTCCATGTCAAACACTTAGCTTAATCATTCAAGTGGAGTTTCGAAATCATTCTCTTCCGGTTCTGGATGGTTTGTTTGGACCGGCGACGGTTATCGACGGCTATAGTTATTTGCGTTTTGGGTGCTAGTAGGCAACCTATTCGACCCATTTGTAGCCATCTATCAATCCAGGGAAACCATTCACGAAACTTGAGGACGAAAGATGTGGGAAGAGATGCTAAGTCATGCTATGTTTTTTTTTGTAGCCACCACAGTTGGGATCCCATGAGAGGTGATGCAAGCTGGATATTTCTTCCTCCCACAATGTTCCATGCAAATCCCAGGATGAAAAAACAGCTGGACAGCGTGGTTCGGAAGATCCTGGAAGATGTGGAATTTGCGGAGGTCCAGGACTACCCTGAATTTGTGGATCTTGAGTTCAGTGTCGACATCATGGAGCCTGGAAACTCATCAGAAATAAATGCTGAAGGTCTTGCTTTCAATGCCCCTTCAGAGCCTTCACGATCTGAACGGCCTTCACGAACAGACTTTCTGAATGCTTCAGATGTTTCGTTCGACCTCCCAGTACAATCAGGATCGAGTTTCTTGTAGGAGAGGAGAGGGACTGAGCCAAATTGGAAGCAACTGCGGCAGTTTCGCTGCGGCAGCAAAATAGAAAGTTGTTGGTTTGAAGATACATAGCTGTTTTTCTTCTTATCTCCCTTGTTTCTTCTTTTTGGCTATGGGAACGGGAATGACAAACAAAAGGCATTTCAGACATCCACGCGAGAGCAAGTGCACTGCTGGCTTGTGACAGTTTATATATTAATTACAACATGTTACAAAAAGGATCTAAAAGGTGCGCCGAACAAACAGCCCAGGATGCATTGAGCATATGAGATCATATGAGTAATTCATGTGATGAGGCTCTTCCTACCAATTGATTGGTGACGACTCGCTCATGGCTCATTGATTTTAGCTTTTGTGGACACTATCAGCAACTATCAGCTGCCGGAGCTGCCGATGTATGGAAATGATCCTGACAACCTTCTAAACATTTTCCGAGCCTGACACATGCACTGCATGTACCGACCAAATAAGGCAAAGGACGCGAAATTGTTGAAATTCTTCGAGAACCAGAGACCAGCATGAAGATTGCGGACACTATTGCTATCATGAAAGGCACATCCCGACACATTCGGAGCATTCCCTTCAACGAAATGTGATGTGTGCTGTGGATGGAACCAGATGAAACATGCCGGAACACATCGGCGAAGCAAAAGAGATCAAAAGAGTACTTTCTTCTTTAATTTTTTGTTTTTTCCATTTTAGGCTTTTGCCTGAGTTCTATGTTAATCTAGAGGACATATGCCAGTACTTGACTGCTACTGACTTTCAGGTCCAAAGGCCTTGTTCTGGACTCGTTTTGTGAAGACTTGCCAGGTATCGATACCAAAGTTTCAGTGGTGGCGCCTGCAGCTTCCCGAAAGCTTGCCGAGATGGAAGTTGTCATTCAATGGACGCGCAGAAACGGTAGCAAGAGTGAGTTTGAGGACTGTCATCATTCGAATCTAAGCCGGTATGACCAGTATGACCGGTATGACCTGTCTTTATAACTTTTGGCTTACTGCGCTCTCTCACGTCCTTACATGGACACGTATAGGATCATTGAATGGGAATCCTCAAAACACCGACTCACAATTTACTACTCATACGTCCCTCTGTGTGTATCTCTGTACGGAGGCACACAATGGCTTGCATAGATGTGCTCATATAATCTCATATACGTATGTACACGAGCATGTAATTGAACACATGATAAGATTACTGGAGGTTGCTGTATTTCACGATTGTTACTATTCATCATGGATAGAATTTGTCGGCCATCCGTTTTCGTCCGCAAAGACTTTGCTGAGCACTGCAGACTGTTACATGTTCGTGGCTGACAGCATTTTTGGAGCATTTGCTGCTGCCCAAGAGGAGAAGAATACCACTATATAATATAATTCCCCGACCAGAGTCCACACTAGAGCGGTCCATGTTTCTGGGTTTGTTTGTGGCTTCATTCTTGTCTCCAGGAGCAACCCAATTGCAACCTTGTTGTCTATGCCGAAGAGCACATGGTCTATTCTTGCGACATTGGTTCAGCCACCAGTCCCAAGGCAACACCTCCACTCTTTGCTGCGCACAGTGTACCTAAAACCGGCGACATGATCCAAGCTTTGAGTCTGATCCAGCTAAGTGAAGATATATCGGCGGACATCAGATAGTGATTCATAAATATGAAATATGTGTATAGATCTGGCGCATCGAATCATATACATATGTATTCTTCCATGACATTGCAAATTGTAGAGATGATGTATATATATATATTATGTATTATATGTATATAATATTATTTCTGTGCCTGAACAATATTTTAAAGTCGATGTTTCTGCCAGGCCGCTGACGTACAGAAGAAGGACAATTTGTACAAAGAGGAGAGCCCTGCTACCGGCAATGTACTGTGTGGACATGCTTTGACGTTGCATGGGTGGACTGAATCGCCAAAAACTCATCCATGGAAAACAAACGGAGGGGCTGAATCTAGAAACATTTAGGTCGTTTAGGTGGCTTTTCCGACAACCAAGTAGATCATGCAACTGATGCCTGTTCACATTGGTTCTCCTGCTGAAGCGTGTCTTATCTCCATATGATTGGTTGCTTCCAAGTCCTTCGCATCCATGGCATTGTAAGTCCAGAGCCTGTGACCTTGAGTAAGTAGACATGGCGTGTTCTGGGGCGGATTCTGTCCAAGTAGAAGTAGGGCCTGAAATCAGGAGCGCATGTCATTCCAATTCATTCCATCTCGATTTTATAATTTTATCTTGATTTTAAGGTCTTGAACATGCGCTGTTCAGGTCCCCTAGGTCATCCGAATGTTGACTGTCCTATTCTTGTTTCATCTCTGGTTTGCCGCTGTGAGGAGATGTCCAAGTCTGTTGGCCGAGCCGTGGGTTCATGGACACAAGAGAACGGCAACGACTCTTTGTCAAATTATTCGAGTCGCTTCGCGACGAGAACCGCCAGCACCCAGAAAATTGAATAGAGAGGAAAGGAGCGGGCGTATTGGGCACAACCAAAGCCGACTGGGGTCAAACTTGGCCGTCCTAGGCCTTAAGAACAGGAGCCCACTTGAGCCCAACTTGGGCCTAACTTGCGCCGAGCTCGGGCTAGTTGGCTCCAACTTGGGCCCAACTTGGGCCCAACTTGGGCGCAATGTGGGCACGTTTGGACGCAAGTTGGGCTTAACGTGCGCAACTTGGCCCTGTGCGGGGGCATCTGCCGCGGAAGTTGGGCCCAAGACAGGCCCAATGTGGGCAACATGGGCACGCACGCACGAATCCCCAACCAAAATGGAAATAGCGGTAAAAATGGTAAAAATGTAAGTTTTCAGCGTCTCGCATTGGGTCCGCAAAATTGGCCCGGGTTGGGCCCAGCTTGGGCCCCGGCTCTTGGCCGAAGTTGCTTCCAAATGCGTCCAACTTATGGCCAAGTTGCACCATGTTGGAGCCAAGTTGGGCCAAAGTTGGAGTCGGAGCTAAGTGGGCGCAAGTTGGGGCCTTGCTGGCCAAAGTTGACCCCAAGTTGGGCCAATGTTGCGGCCATGTCGGATCGGAACGGTGCATTTGGCCGATGCTGGGCCGATATGCAAAATGTGCAAATTACCGCGAACTTTTGGCGGCCTGTCCCGGGCGAACATGGCCCCCCCGCAGCTGAAGCCGTACCAGTCTGACAGACTGCCAAATCTGTCCGTATCATCCGCTGCTAAACTACCACGCCTCGGCAGCTTCGGCGCGAGCGGATTTTTGTATCGCTGAGATTGGAGCTGTTCTTTTGCTTTGGAATCAGACCGTGGGTGCCGAGCTGCTTGTGGCGATTTGTACAGCAGTGCTGCAGCAGCAGATCGTTGGTTTCTGTGAACTTTAAATCCGCGTAAATGACAGCTAGAGATGCCACGATGGTTCGACAGCTTTCGCTGAATGCTTGAGGAATCGCGCTTGCAGCTGGACTTGTCAGCTTTGCCATCTGACGTGACGGAAATGTACTTCGTGATTTCCGCAGAAGAATCCTATGACTGCCGGGATCTAGGGGATGTGCAATTTTGCAATGGTAAAATGCGTGGGCTCAGAAATTCAGTACTCATGCCTCAGGTTTCACAAAAACGAAACACAGTGGACACAATCTCCTTTTTTTCATGATGCGAGTATTACCAGCAGGTTCAAAATCACTACGATGCTGAGAACATAATTCATACGGTCACTCTCGTAACGCTCGTAAAGCGAAAGGATTCGAGAGGCAAGGCCCCGTGAGACATGCCATGGGATGCCACAGGATGCCACAGGCATCACTCTTCATCAGCATTTTGGACTTGTTTGATTTTGTTTGCAGCTCTTAAAGGACCTCTCCAGCTTCAGTTCAGCTTCCTTTTCCTTGGTGGACTTGGCACGAAACCAGGAGCGGCTAAACCTGCGCGAATTCAATTACAAAACTGATCTTGAATCCGCATAACCGCATAAGCATAGCTAGGTAATTAATCAGTGATCAAGCTGGATGCATGCTGTTTCACGAGAAAGGAGAGACGCCATTTGAGCCGAATTTCCAGTGGGAAGGCACTCTTCTCATTTTGCAAACATATCCTCATTCGATCTCATTTGGCTTTTGAGTCTGAGGAGCTTTCCAGCTACGAATGCAATTTGGGTGCTTCGCAAGGATTCATCATTTGCTCACTAAGCCGCTTTGAGACCCTTGACTATCATGGTCATATACGGTCATGGTTTGATACAGTTTGGTCACATGGTGGTTGACGTCACGGCTGAAGTTGTAGTTGATTGTTGAATGATGTTGAATGACTACCATGAAGATGGCCATTTCCTTTAAATATCTTTTTCCCGAATGCGTAGCAAAGTGTTTTCGTTTTACTTTGGGAGTCTGGGGGTGGAGACATGTTCGCTTGACGCTGCTTTGGTGCCCGCAACCGTCGACAACTGTTTGCGAGCGACCGTCGTGTGGGTAAAATGGCCGTGCCTATGGCGAGTTCTGCAAGAGTGGGCACTTTTGGAGGTTTCAAGTGTCGCGTGGCGTAGCTTCGTTTCACGTGGCAGGCGTGGCACTTTGTGACATTCCAACGTGTCTCATAATGTGTCGAAAGTCGTTTTATGTGGCAGGCGCAGTACTTTTGCGTCGTTTTCACAAGATGAGTTGCAGTTTTCATGGCAGGCGCAGCACTTTGGAGACCTCCATCGTCTTTTTGCGTGGCAGGCGCAGCACTTGAGACATGTCGTGTTGCGTGTTTTTTTGCGACTCCCATTGTTAAGGCTGCGCGAAGTGGTGACAAGGTGCAAATTCCGTGGCAGGCGTGGCATTTTGTGACATGTGCTGAAAAGTGACGGAAGCCTCGCACGAAACATCGATTTTGAGGTGGCAAATTTTAAGGTTCATGAGAAAACTCGTAGGAAAACGTAGATTTTGAAGCTACAAAGTTTGAACATGAGGAAGTCTCCGTGAAATACTCGTTTTGAGGCCCCAGCATGTCTCGTCTCGATGCTCTGGTTTTCTTCTGCCGTCACCGTGTCTATGGGGGAAGCTGCAACAGCTCTCCTTTTCCAAGGAGTCAAAGCAGGTTGTGATGTCGTGTTGCGTGGCAGGCATGGCACTTCCTGGTATTCTCACGTGTCTACCCAAGTGTCGAAAGTCGTTTTTTGTGTGGCAGGCGCAATACTTGGGCGTTGGCAGAAGATGAGTTGCATTTGTCGTGGCAGGCGCAGCACTTTGGAGAACTCCATCGTCATTTTACGTGGCACTGTACACTCCACACTCCACACTGTACACTCCACACTCCCCACTTTACACCACACTCCACATTCCACACTCTACACTCCGCACTCTACACTCCCCACTCCACACTGCACAGTTCACACTTCACACTTTACACTCTACACTGTATACTCCACACTCCACACTATACACTATACACTTTACACTCCACACTTTACACTCCACACTTTACACTGTACACTTTACACCCGCACCTCACACTCCACACTTCACACTTTTGACTCTACACTTTACACTCCACAATCCACACTATTTAGACTCTACACCTTGCACTTTACATTCCACACTCCGCACTTTACACTCTACACCTTGCACTCCACACTGCGCACTCCACACTTTACACTCCACACTCCGCACTTTACACTCCACACTCCGCACTCTAGACTTTACACTCCACACCCTACACTGTACACTCCGCACTCCGCACTTTACACTCCACACTCCACACTTTACACTTTACACTCCACGCTCTACACTCCACACTCCACGCTATACACCTTACACTCCACGCTTCACACTTCACACTCCACACTTCACACTTTACACTCTACACTTTACACTTTACACTCCACACTTCACACTTTACACTCTACACTTTACACTTTACACTCCACACTCCACACTTTACTCTTTACACTCCGCACTTTACACTTTACACTCCGCACTGCGCACTTTACACTCCACACTCCCCACTTTGCACTTTACACTCTGCACTTTACACTTTAAACTTTAAACCCCACTCTTTACACTCCACACTCTACACTTTACACTCAACACTCTAGACTTTACACTCCACATTCCACACTCCACACTTCACACTCCATACTTCAGACTCTACATTCTACACTTTACACTCCACACTCCACACTTTACACTCCACAGTTTCCACTTTACACCCGGTACTCCACACTGCACACTTTGCACTCCACTCTCCACACTCTGCACTCTACATTTTACACTTTGCACTCCACACTTCACACTTCACATTCCGCACTTTACACTTTACACTTTACACTCTACACTTTACACCCTACACTCCACACTATACACTTTACACTTTACACTCCACACTTTACACTCCACACTTTACACTCTACACTGTGGACTCCACACTTTCAATTTTTACTCCACACTTTACGCCTTACACTGTATACTCCGCACTTTACACTTTACACTCCACACTTTACACGCGACACTTTACACTCCAAACTCCACACTATACACTTTACACTCCACACTTGACACTTTACACTCCACAATTCACACTCCACACTGCACGCTTCACACTCCACTCTCCACACTCTACACTCCACACTTTACACCTTACACTCCACACTGAGCACTGTACACTCTACACTTTACATTTCGCACTTGACACTTTACACTCCGCACTCCATACTTTACACTTTTTTACTTTACACTTTGCACTCTACACACTACACTTCACACTTTCCACCTCGCACTTTACACTTTAAATGCGCTTTGCACTCCGCAATCCCCACTTCACACTCTACACACTACATTCCCCACTCAACACTCCACTTTCTTCATGCTCCACACTTGGCCCACTTTCCACTGTCTACAGTGCACTGGTACGGTAACAGAGGAAAATTGGACTGTTCAAAAAAACGTTACACAAAAGTGTTTTACGTGACTACATTCGGGTTCGTTGGTTTCTCTTTTTTTTGCTCTTGCCAAGCCGGGGTGAACTTGTGCCTGGTGACAAATGTCCAGACCCGGTCGTTAGAGGGATGTTTGCGGTTGTTGTTCATTGAGGGGGGGTTTTGTGAATTGGGGGGGGGTTGTTGTTCAATTACGTAGCGAAAAGGCTTCCCTAGAATTATTCAGTAGCAAAAAAGGTTCCCATATGGCAATTTAGTGGTAGAAAAGGCTCCCGTAGATTTATGTAGTAGCAGAAGATGCTCCCGTAGACTTATTTAGCAGAAAAGGTTCCCGTAGACTTATTCAGTAGCAGAAAAGGTTCCCGTAGACTTATTTAGTAGGAAACCTTTTCGCTACATAATTGAACAACGACCCTCCCCCCCAATTAACAACAACTCTCCCCCTTTGTTGCTGTTCACAGGCGGGGCTGGCGAACAACACCGCCCTATTAACAACAGCCCCCCTCTCCCCTAATAACAACAACCCCCTACCCCTGCTTATCGATCCGGTCTCCATATGTCACCTGTCCGTGGATATCGATAAGGGAGATTTATATAGAATTTCCAGACATTATGTTTTTTCTTTCCTCTCTCTCTCTCTATAAATATTTACTCTTGTGCACTTGGACTATATGAGTCAAGGTCAGAAGTAATAGCTACACAACAGCTACTAGGACGGTGCTTAAAGAGAACAGATTGTCCAAGGATGCTGACATCAGATTTCCCCAGGATGCTCAACCGCGCTAGTGAAACAGTACGCCTTGATACGCCACGTATACCTGATGAATTCCCAATACTCATGGTGCATGTAAGAAAACAGTTGTCTTTGGTGCATGATGATGCATGATGTACATGTTACCAACGAAGAGCAAATCAACTGCTCGAGAGTGACAGATTGGGTAGAAGACATGGAGGTCGTAGAAAGAAAGGCACCTACATCCAATGGGGGCAGTTCTCCAGACATTGGATCAGACTCACCAGACGCGCAAAAAAGATCAAACAAATATATAATATATCTGATTGATCTGATCGGAAAGGGGCGATGCTTCACTGTGAACAAGCAAGATCGGCCTGATAGGAGAAAAGGTCTTGTCTGGCCGGCATGTATATATATACTATATATACCCATGCATTGAGTTTGGCAGGCTTGGGTGTGCATGTATCATCTTTAAGTGTTTCAATGAATGCTACCATTTTGGCTCAAGTAAACTTGAACCAAAATAGCATTCATTGCTGTTTTCTTTCTTGGTCTTGGTAAGGGGTGACCTTTCCAGACCTTGATTGGGTGGTTCAAATTATATACAAGGGGCGACCTTGTATGCAGCGCAAACTCCCAGGAATCGATATCCCGGCAGCCACTGAGGCGAAGATCCTTCATGCTGCTGCTTTCCTGGAGTTCAAGAGCCACGTGGAAAGGCTGGCGCGGGAGGGCTCTGATGCTGCAGCATACACATGCTGGATGCATGGCGTTGAAGTGTTGCATTCCCCCTACGTCACCACGACTGGGACAGATTCAGAGCTTTTCCCCCCCCTGCCGAAGATACCCTGTTGCCTTGATGACTGCCAGCGTTGCGCAGCTCATGTGGGGGGGTTCAAGTTCCCGTGGCTCGGCTTGTGGAACAGCCGTGGCGTTGTGCTGCCCGATGATGTGGCGCCCGCGGATGCTTGGGCGTACTACTACCAGCACCAGGACCCCATGGACCTGCTGCTGGTCGCTGCCTATACGAAGCACAAAGTGGCCGCTGACATCGTGCCCCAGGATCTCTACGGGTTGCAGCTCAGGTGCTCAGCGGGCGACGCTGGGCAACTGGGCTTGGGGGAGCTGTTCGATCAATGGAGGAGCTGGCTCAGATGCACAGGCCCTCACGAGCTCCTACCGGTCTTCCTCGAGCCGCGGCATTTCCCCAGAGCACCTAGGGGGCGACCCTGGGTGTCCTGGGGGCGAGAAGGCGCCAGGGCACATCGAGCGCTATGTGGATGGCTGGAATGCCAGGATGCAGGCATGCTCCAGCT